TCAAGACATTTTGGAGCGTGAGACAGAGAATCCAAATGGTCATGCTTCCATGCAGCTCTTGTCCATTTCAATGAGCCTTGTGCCTAGGAACCTCCTTCTGGATTGTTCTCCATTGGTACATTGTGTACCTGAACTCTCTATTATTGTTTTTAAGATAAAGTCTCTCATCAAAGCTACTCCTGAGTAAGCTTGGCAGTCATGGACTAATAGGAGAGGGCCTCTCAAGGATCAGGAACGGGTTAAGAAACAGGAAGCATAGAGAAGAAATAGAATCCCAGTGGAGGGATGTAGAAAGTGAGGAAGGGAATTGGGACCGCTACTTTAAAATTTGTTCATTGATGGTCTAAAGCAGGGGTCAGCAAACTTTTCCAGCAGGGTGCCGGTCCACTGTCCCTCAGACCTTGTGGGGGGCCGGACTATATTTTTTTAGGGGGGGAATGAACGAATTCTTATGCCCCACAAATAACCCAGAGATGCATTTTAAATAAAAGGACACATTCTACTCATGTAAAAACACACTGATTCCCGGACCGTCCGTGGGCCAGATTTAGAAGGCGATTGGGCCGGATCCGGCCCCCGGGCCTTAGTTTGCCTACCCATGATCTAGAGTTAGAGGTGAGCAGTGAGGTAGCCAAGTTTGCTGATGAAACCAAATTGTTCAGGGTCATTGAAGCAAAGAGGGATAGTGATGAGCTGCAAGAGAATCTCTCAAGACTAAGCGAACGGACAGGAGTGGCCCACCCATGTGTCAGGGGAAGCAGGTGCCCTGCCACCCCCACTGGTGGCATCGATGCAGCCCCAGCCTCAGCACTGGTTTCCAGAGTGATCTCGCTGGAACCTGCCTCTGTAGCTTTGCACCACTGCTGCGCTTCCTAGGTAAGGGACACTTCGGCAGTGGCAGCGTGGTGGCAGGGCAAGGCAGCACTTCCTGTTTTTACCCCAAGCGGAAAATGGGACACACTGCCTCTGGAATAGACAGAAAAAATGGCAAATGCAATTCAGCCTAAGCAAATATCAAGCATTGACATGGTGGTGGGAATATAATTTTACATATATTCTCAACTGGCAGTGACTGACCAGGAACGAGACCTTGGGGTTATAGTGGATAGCTTGATGAAGGTATTGACCCAGCTGTGAAAACAAGCAATTTTGTGTTAGGGATTTTATTTTATTTATTACATTTATATACCAACTTTTTTCTTCCAAGGAACTCAAGGTGGTATACATGGTTCTCTCTCCACCCTGCCCCCCCCCCAATTTCATCTTCACAGCAACAGTAGGTTAGGCCAAGAGATTGTGATTGGCACAAGGTCAGTCAGTGAGCTTCATAGCTGAGTGGGGATTTGAGGCCTGGTCTTCCAGGTTGTAGCCCCAACACTCTTAACCATTATGCCACACTGAAAATAATGTTACCTATATCATAATGCTGTTGTGCAAATATATGGTGCGTACAAACTTGGAATACTGTGTACTGGATGAGAGATGTGTATTAAAATTGTGTGATGTGGTTGGAGAGACGTTTTACTCCATATTGCCTATTACTAGAACCCAATGAAGCTGAATGCTGGGAGATTCAGAACAAACAAAATTAATTACATCTCCACTCAGTTAAATTATAGAATTCACACCCTCCAGCATTTGTCCGATGTAAATAGGGACGTCCTACCATCCCCTCCAACATCTCTCTGATGAAAATTGGGACATCCTAAGGAGAAGCGGGACATTCCAGGATGAAGTCAGAAACTGGGATGGCTTCTGTAAATCCTGGACTGTCCCTGGAAAATAGGGACACTTGGAGGGTCTGTAATTTGCCTCCCACAGGATAACATGATGGCCACCAAATTGGATGGCTTTAAGTAAATTTATGGAGGATGAAGCTATTCATGGCTACTAGCCATGATTCCTATATTTTACCTCCACTGCTGGAGGCAATGTGTCTCTGTATATCAGTTACTAAGAATCCCAAGTGGGGAGAGGGCTCTTGCATTGAGGTCCCATAGTCGTCTTGTTGGTCACCGTGAGATCAGGATGTTGGTCTAGATGGACCTTTGGTCTGGTCCAGGAGGGTCCTTCTTACATTCTTAGAATCTCTGTATCTCTCTCTTAACGGAACCCGAAATTGCCACAAGGTGACCATTCACCTTACCTTGCGAAAGGGTCAGTTTTGCTCTTGGAACACCCAATATGTATATTGAGGGGGTCCTCTGGGCTGGGATCCGCAGCCTCAGCCTCCTTCCACCTTTTTGGCCCTATAGCTCTGTCTCACAATAAGCTCTGCTATTGCTGTGTTGGGCATTGACATCTGTATCAGCTTGCATCTCTGACGTAGGTGGGGTAGAAAAAGTCCCATGGCTTGTGAACTGGGCGTTAACTGGATCAGGCCAGAGCATGAAGGGGCATTGCCTGCACTGGTTACCATTGAGTTTCTGAGATCAATTGGAGTTTATTAGCAGTAAAGCTTTAAAATTCCATGCTCTAAGAAACATTGAGAAACCCTTTCAACCATACAGTCTTCCCCAAGCTCTGAGACTGGTAGATGATACTCTTTCTGTGTTCTTTAGGGCAGTGTTTCCCAACCACTGTTCCGCGGCACACTAGTGTGCCGCGAGATGTTGCCTGGTGTGCCGTGGGGAAAATTCGAAAGATTTTTTTTTTTTTTGTAAAAGTCAAATTAGGTCCTAATCTATCCCTCGAGCGCCTCTTGTCCGTTATTGTGACGCATGAAGCGTGTTCCCGCCCACTCCCCGCCCTCCCTTGCTTCTCTCTCTCTCTCTGTGGCGTTCTCCGCCGCTTCCTGCTGGGCATGCGCAGCTCGCCTCGCGCTTCCATTCCGGCCCCTCCTTCCCCCGACTACCCCGCCGCTCCGTTCCTTTCTCTTTCTCGCGTGTCAGAGAGCGGCGGCGCGAGCGCGGCGGTTCCCTCAGGGCTGACGGAGGGCTCGAGGAGGAGGAGGCAGGACGTGGAGGCGGAGAAAGCGGTGGCGGCCACCCCCCACCTCCGGCTCGAGGCCCGCGTAGAAAGCTGAGGGGGAGAGATAGATAGAGGTGGGCGGCGGCGGCGGCGGTGACCACGACCAACTGCCACAGTAGTTGTAGCGGTGGCGACGGCGAGCAGGGACTCCCGCTCTCTCTCCGTCGTGTGTCTCTCTCTCTCTCTCTCTCCCGGGCCCGTCCGTTGAGTCTCCCGCGCGCCTCGGCTACAAGATGAGCATCGAGATCCCGCCGGGTCTGACTGAGCTGCTGCAGGGCTACACGGTGGAGGTGCTGCGGCACCGGCCGCCGGACCTGCTGGCCTTCGCCGCCGAGTACTTCGCCAAGCCGCGCTCTCCTTCCTGCCTCGCTTTGCTGCCTCCTCCCCCCCACCCCCAAAGCTTGGAGGTTCCCCGGCGCCGACCCGCAGGTTTGACCCTCTTCTCACACCTGTTCGCGCTCCTTGCACGGAATGGGGCGGATGGGGAGGAACGGGGCTCGCCGCTGCCTCCGCTCGCCCTCCCCCCCTCCGCCGGCGGTCCCGCGATTCTTGGCTTTTTGGCGGCTGGCACAGAAGGAAGGCAAGGGGGAGGGAAAAAAATTGAAACTTACACTTTCGTGCGTCCCTCCCGGCGTGACGCTGCGCGCTGACGTCACGGGGCTGTAATGGTGGTGTGCCTCGAGATTTTTTTCATGAAACAAGTGTGCCTTTGCCCAAAAAAGGTTGGGAAACACTGCTTTAGGGCAGTATTTTCCAGTAGTGCTTGGGGGAGGTGACATTCTCAGTGGTTGGCAAACTCTTTCTGTGAAACCATCTCACTCGGGAGACTTGCCAGCCCCCATCATTCCTCTTTTAAGGCAAGGTAAATACTTTATTGTCTGTGGGGAAAAAAGCCTTCTTTGTTTAATTTAGTTTTTAATTGGCATCTCTTAACTTGTTTTGGCTTCTAAGACTGCATATATTTTATTGCAGCTTTTACTTACATATTTGCTTTCAGCATGACTTTATTTCTTAAAAAGTAGAGCCATGCATTTTTCTTCTGCTCTTTTGTGATTTAAATTTGCTTAATAGTCACTCTGAGCTTGCTATGGAAAGGCACTTAATTACAAATGTGTGCAATAGTAATAATTTATTATTACGGTCAAAGACCAGTTCAGAAGCACAACTGAGACACAAATGTGTGTGTTTATTTATTTATTTATTTAAACTTTTCTATGTGATGCATCTAGGCCAGGAAACTAGTTCTGATCTCTGAAGAAGTGTCATATCAGTCATTATGATGGGCTCGCAAGTCTGTTCTGCAAAGCAGAGTTATGAAATCATTATTTTGCTTTCAATATAAAGAGTTAAACACCCAGACTTCTATCTTAGGCATTATATGGCTTGGCTTATTATATGTAATAAGCCAAGGCTATTCCAGGCTATCAACCCTTGCTTCCACCCTTGTTGAAGGCGCCCCAGTTCTCTCCCGGGCTAACACTTTTTGAGGAAACCTTGAGGCTACTATTTGTTTGTTTGTTTTCCACATTTAATATTCTACCTTTCCTCCAAGGTACCTGAGATGGTGTACATGGTTCCCATGCTTCAGTTTATCCATAGGTTGTTACCCTGTGGGGTAGGTTAGACAGAGAATTAGTGACTAGCTGAAATCATGGCTGAGTGAGGATTTTAATTTTTGGTCTCCCTGGTCATCAACCATACAGTGGTACCTCAGGTTACATATGCTTCAGGTTACAGATGCTTCAGGTTACAGACTCCCCTAACCCAGAAATAGTACCTCGGGTTAAGAACTTTGCTTCAGGATGAGAACAGAAATCATGCTCCGGCGGCGCGGTGGCAGCAGGAGGCCCCATTAGCTAAAGTGGTGCTTCAGGTTAAGAACAGTTTCAGGTTAAGAACGGACCTCCGGAACGAATTAAGTACTTAACCCGAGGTACCACTGTACTCTAACCACTTCATCCCAACAGAGTAGATACTGCAGGGTTGGCTTTGTTTCACTATCTTGTCTTGTGTTTTTTTCTTCCTCCTAGGTCCTGCTCAGCCCCCACGGCTCCTGGTCAAGAGCCTTTCCTTGGAGCCTAGCCCAGAACATCGCTCTCCAGAAGCCCCCCAGCGGCTCATCTCTGATCCAGGACCTGACAGCAGCGAAGGAGAAGTGGCCAAACTCCGGCCACTCAAACGACCCCCAGGACCAAAACCACAAGGTATATAGGCGAGTCTTGACCCACCAGTGAGCCCATCACAACGAGGTTCTTTGTGGAACTTCCTGGGAAGAAAGCCTGCAAGCAGAGCAAACTGGCTTTGGCAGAGCACCTGACTTTCCCATTCCCTGCACCAGGCTCTGCGGAGGAAGTGGGGCAAGACACAGTTGTTAGAAGAGGGAGGTTCTGATTTATTTGTTCATTACTAACAGCCTTGTGCCTGGCGTTGCTTGGGAATTCCAAGAACAAGAACAACGAAAACAGTGCAGTTTCCAAATTGGTGGTGCAGTTTTGAAAGGTTTGGTCCGCCATCTTGATTCAAAATGGCGTCCAATTGACAGAAACCTACTCCTTGATCTCAAGAACCATCATGCCAAATTGGGTTACAGCATGTGCAAAGCAAGCAGACAAGCAAACAATTTTTCAAAATATATAGTAGGGTATATTTAGACTTGTTTTTCAGTCAAGTTTGGCTCCAGGAGCAGCTGCCAATAAAATCCAGTGCAGGACACGTTCATATTTGTGTATGGCAGATTCCTCTACCAGAGGTAGGGCAGGATCCAGGCTCTTTTCTCCAGAGAAAGGGTGGCAGAAGGAGATGGGCTGGGTGTAGGGTGCTGTTGGTTGTTTTTTTTGGTTACCTGATGGTAATGATGCCAGTCCACGGAAGTAGCCCTTCTGTCAGTTGTTTTTGCTGGGGGTTTGTGTATATTATTGTATTATTGTGTATATTACTGTGTATATTATCTATATATTATGTGTGCCTTTAAAAAATAACTTGAATTGCTTTTCCAGTCCCTCCTAAACCAGCCCATCTGCAGAGTATCCAGCCACTGCGTCTTCCTGAATCCATCCCCCCACCTCCATCGCGACCACTCCCTGCTGATCCCCGCTTAAGCCGCAGCCCCCTGCCTAAGGATGGATTGGGACCATTATCTGCCGTCTCCTGCCTCATTGAGAAGTTTGAGAGGTGGGTGCTTTAGTAGCTTGCAAGGCCCTGCTTCCCTGGGAATGTAGCTGGTGCTCCCTTCTGATGTTATGCTTCCTGCCATGGGCTGCAGAGACTTCCGAAGGATTCCAGCATGAAGAACAGAGTGGGTGCACTCTCCACATACAGCCATTGTGAGGGTGTGCCACCAGTTTGGCGGTACAGCCAAACTGGAAGAGTGCGCTGGAACACTTTGCTTCCAGATGAACAGCAGGGAGCTATGGCATCCTGTCCTACATGTTAATTTCCTAAGGCCTCTGGCTAGCCTTTGAGTCAGAAGACAGAATGCCAAGCCAGACGGATAGTTGGACTGATGGAGTGTGCCAGTTCTTAACTCTATTTTTAGTCAAGGGCTGCTACTTCTCTTACTTCCAACGCACTAGATTCTACTTCCCTTTCCAAGGTGAGACTAGAACAAGCAGCAGGTCTTTTTTTAGTGATCTCCTGGAGACCTTCTTCCCAGAGAGCCTGACTGTCTGTGTTTTGATTTGTTGTTGTTGCAGGGAACCTGTGATCCTGGCTGTCGAGCAGGCCCCATCGCCGTGCCCCAGTCCAGATCTCCAGACCCCCGAGACAGGTCCCATGGAGCCCTCACTAGACTGCCCGACTTCGCTGGAATCGGCAGAGCTGGCTCACAAACTCCTGGACCTCCTGGCTCTGGAGGGAGGGCCAGAGCCTGCGGGTGGTGCTGCCTGCTTGCCGTCTCACGATGGTGGGAAGCTGGCCAACCGGGACAGTGGTATTGACAGCATCAGCTCCCCATCTAACAGTGAGGAGATCTGCTTTGGGGCTGACGAGGGCACAGGAGAGGGAGCGGGGCCACCCGTGCCTGCTGCCGTCATCAAGCGCCGCTCAACCCGGGATTCCGAAGTGGACAGTGACATGGACGATGGCAGCGGGGATGAGGCAGAGCTGCTACCGGAGCTCCCTCCCCCTCAAGCAGAAAGACAGGACTCAGAGGAGGTGAGAGACTTGGACTGGCATGCCTGGGTGTTAGTGTGATCATCTGCTCACCCGCACAGCTGATGGCTGCCAAGCCTTTACCTGAATACGATGCTCTTTACTGAGGTCAGAAGCAAAACTGGGGGATAAATAACAGGGGACTGGGATGAGTTGGGGTTACACATTGATTAGAGAGGTGGAAGTGTGAGCAGCCGTGTCCACTGTTGTATTGTGATTCAGGAATGGTTAGTAAATATGATCTGGGTCGTATCCTTGTCTGGTAATGCCAGCTCAGGTGCTGAGGGTAGGATTGTTTCTGATGGACTGAAATTCACTTAAGGGGGACTACTTACTCCTCAGAATATTTTCACTGCCTGGTCAGATTCACTCACAGGGTGGTAAAATACTGCTAGCTCATTTGCAAAGCTAAGCAGAGTCCAGTATGGTTTCAGATGGGATGGGAGACTGCATGTTGAGATCCCTGCATTGCATCTAGGGGGTTGGACTAGATGGCCCTCAGGGATCCCTTCCAACTCTACAATTCTGTGAGAAGCGGGGATTCTTATCCCCCTTGAGTGGCTGTGAGAAAGCGAACCAAGGAATTAGTGCAGCGTGTATTTCACAGTCATTTCTAGGCCAGCAGCTGAGGAGTGGGGGCCATGGAAGATACGAAAGTGTTTTGGAGAGGAGGGGGAAAGTGGGCTAATCTCACACCCAATTTCATGGGTGCATGAAGTACAGGGCAGATGGGTGAACTTGGATTTTGTTAAGTTCCCCACAGAGATTTTAATTTCTCCCCTTGACAGATGACAGTTCCACAAAAGGTTTTCCGAATTGCCAACGAGCTTCTCCAAACAGAAAAGGCCTATGTGTCTCGCCTGTATCTTCTCGACCAGGTACCTATGATACAACTGAATATCCCAGAACAGCTATTGAGTGTGCATAGTTTCCCCTCCTGAAGCCTTTGCAGGGGAAATGTAGCATCTGTGCTGAAAGCCATGCCCGACTGCATCAGCTGGAAAACCTGCTGGAAAACTCAGCCCTTTTCTTTGGATTGTGGATCTGCTCTTCCAAGCTGCAGATACTAGAAAAGGGATTTTGGTGTAGAATCAGCATGGGTTTTCCCTTCCCTTCCCTTTTGATTTATACACCACCCTTTTGCCAAGGAACCGAAGGTGGTTTACAGTTTTACATTTCTCCCGTCCACTCACCAATGGATAAAATACAAACACAAGCAGGCCCTTTGTCCTTTTCGCAGGGCAGGTGGTGCTAATTGGCCCTACAGAGGGAGGGGACACCTTGACTGGCGCAGGCTCTGGTGATGTCTCCGCCTGCTTCCCTTACTCTCAGCCTTCTTACAGGGCAGAATGGTATCTGTTGGCCAAAGTCTTTCTGGCCTTCAATTCCCATCATTCCTGTTGACTGGCCATGGTGACTGGGCCTGATGGGACTGTCTCCTATGTTGCTGAAATGCATTCCCACCTCCTAGGTCTTCTGCGCACGTCTGCTGGAGGAAGCACGCAGCCGAAACTCTTTCCCAGTGGACGTGGTGATGGGTATTTTTGCCAACATCTGCTCAATCTACTGCTTCCACCAACAGTTCCTGCTCCCAGAATTGGAGAAACGTATGGAGGAATGGTGAGGACATTTCATTGGCTTAACATTTTGGTGCGACTGCCTACAAAGGTTTGTTTATGTGACTCTCTGCGATCTTTTGGACCAGTGTTTCTCAAGCGGCCCCCCCCCCCGGATATTCCAAGGGGGCCACATGTGAAAATTGTGTAAATGGGGGGGCCAAGGCATGAGACTAGGGGGCCATAAAGGGAAATGAAAAGTGAAGAAAACAGAGAGGTGACCAAGAAAAGAAAGCAGAAAAGAAAACAGAGAAGCATAGGGAACAGAGAAGTGGCCATGCTTCCCAGTGAAGGAATCTCCATGTGCACTCCACAGCAATGTTGCTTCCGATTCCTTCTCCCTTCCACTTCCGCGCACCAAGCTGTCCAGTAGGACGGGGGGCCACAGGAAGGAAACAAGGTCAGAAGGGAGCCATGGTCGGAAAAAGGTTGAGAAACATTGCTTTAGACAGAAGTCCTTCCAAGCCCTACCTGGAGATGCCAGGATTGAGCCTGGGAACTTCTGCATAGTGCTTGTTTTCCTTCTTGCTTCACTGCCCTTCTCTCAATCTCTCAAGCCTGGCTGGTTGGGGCCGATGGGAGTGGGAGTCAAGCAACATCTGGAGGGTTGCCCACCCATGTCCTGTTCTCCTAAATACTTCACCCTTTGCAGGGAACCATAGAACTGTAAAGATGCAAGCGTAACTTAATAGAGAAAGTTTCGTGTCCATGACTCCCTTATGTCTTGTCCCTGATTTGCGCCCGTTTGAGAATGTTAAGAGTTATCAATCTCCTCATGTTGGGATTCCTGAGCTCTGCTTGGGTGTTTGTTCTTGACTCCCAGTCCCTGTATTATAATAATAATAATAATAATAATAATAATAATAATAATAATAATAATAATAATTTATTATTTATTATTTATACCTCGCCCATCTGGCTGAGTTTCCCCAGCCACTCTGGGTGGCTTCCAATCAAGTGTTAAAAACAATACAGCATTAAATATTAAAAACTTCCCTAAACAGGGTTGCCTTCAGATTATTATTATTATTTATACTCTGCCCAGATGGCTGGGTTTCTGGCTGCAGTTTGCCCTGCAGGTAGAATCTGGATGCTTTCCTACCCTGTGAATGCAGCGGCTCAGTTTCTGTCTTGGACCTTTCTCCTCTTCCTAACACTTTTTGCTTCTGTTCCCCAGGGACCAGCACCCGCGCATCGGGGATATCCTGCAGAAACTGGCCCCTTTCCTCAAGATGTATGGCGAATACGTAAAGAACTTTGACCGTGCCATGGAGCTTGTCAACACCTGGATGGAGCGCTCAGCACAGTTCAAGAGCATCATCCATGAAGTGCAGGTCAGCTTAGTTCAGGGGGATCTCAAACTTAGCATTGTTGCAAGTGCTTCAGGTTAAAAGCAGGGAGAACAACGCAGCCTCATCATTGGAGCTACCCAGGTGGCGCAATTAAGTTATCATTCCAGTTGTATTATTCCCTATACAGCAATTTTTCTTAAGGGTTCAAAAGCACTTTAAAACGTTGTTAATTGAGCATGTTTTTAAGTACCGACACAGGAAAGAAAAAAAAATCGCTTGCAAAAGGGTAGGGAAATGCTTCACTGAATGTCCTTCCCTCCTCCCAGCCCTGCTGTTCAACATGGATGTGGAGTGAGGGGCTTTGGGGTCTAATTAAGATCTAAACAAAATTGGAGTGTTTGGAAGGAATTGTTGGGGAAGAAGCTCGTGTCTCAGCAGCTGCTCGCGCCTCTGTACAAAGACTTGCCCCGTACTCTGAAAACTCTGCCTCTGGTTCCCTGAGTCTCGGTTCCCTATGGGAGCAGGCGGGCTGCCATTGGAGGAGAGCCAGGCAGACAGCTCTCTAGAGATCACTCTCTTCTGCAGAGGGAAGAGATATGTGGGAACCTGACCCTGCAGCACCACATGCTGGAACCTGTCCAGAGAATCCCTCGCTATGAGCTGCTGCTGAAGGACTATCTTCTCAAATTGCCTCAGGACTCGCCCGATTGCAAGGATGCTCAGAGTGAGTAGAGCTGCAGGGAAGAATTGCAGTGGGGTGTTTGTTTCTTTGTTTGAATTTGTATACCACCTTTTGTCCAAAGATCTCATGGCAAGAAAAATAGCATAAAAACAGCATAAAAATACAAGAAAAAGGGTGGTCGTGGAGAGAGCCACAGCACACATTGCCTGTAAAACCATAGTCTTGTTTGCTAGCAGAGATTTACTAACCCCAGTATTTCCCAGAGTATCAAAAGCCCTGGTCAGTGGGATATTTTCTCTGGAAATTTGAGTAAGACAGTGGTGAGGAACTGGTGGCTCACAGACCAGAGCTGGTCCACAAAGAGTTTTGGGCCAGCCAACCCACCTTGGCAGCGGCCTCAATTTCCCTCTTGGGGAACTGATGTTTCGAAAGGTAACTGAAAGGTGGCGGAAAGCAGTGCAAACATTGGAGGAGAATCGGAGCACCTGTCTGATGCTCTCTGCTCTCTTCCAAGGCTTGCAGTGCTCTTCCCACCTTTCCTCCCCAGCCGTCACTCAAAATGGCAGCTCTCCTCAAAGACTTCCCTCGCCTGCTGAGAGCCGCCTCTGCCTCAAAGCACTGGAGCACCTTGACATGTCAGTTTCTGAAGGAGCAGCTCCCTTTTCACTGCTGCTCTGCTGAGACGGATGAGAGATCTTCCCCTCCCTTTTCTGCCCAGCTGCTTGGGAAACAGCTGAGCAGCTGTGAAGAGTGGTGTGTGTGTTTTGCAGAGTTTTGGCCCCCCTCAATTTGAAAAATGTTCCCCACCCCTGGAATAAGAGGTAGGTGACCAAGCCACAGCCCCCCAACCCAGTCCATCTATGGTTGCCTGCTGGTTAGACCAGGCAGCACAGTGGTACCTCGGGTTACAGACACTTCAGGTTACAGACTCCGCTAACCCAGAAATATTACCTTGGATTAAGAGCTTTGCTTCAGGGTGAGAACAGAAATCGTGCTCTGGCGGCGTGGCGGCAGTGGGAGGCCCCATTAGCTAAAGTGGAGCTTCAGGTTAAGAACATTTTCAGGTTAAGAACGGACCCCCAGAACAAATTAAGTACTTAACCTGAGGTACCACTGTACACCTCAGTGAGCTGGATCTCACTTTGTGTTCTCCAGTTGCAAATTCCTGACCTAAGTGGTGAACCTGTAGCCCCAACACAGTGGTCAGCAAATTCTGGTAATCCGCCTGTGTGGCTTTCTTTTGACACATGTTTAAGGATTGTTTCTGCTTTCAGTTCAGTTGGAGGCACTGTGTTGAGTAAGGCCAGGCTAGCCATTTAGATTCTCCTTTTCTTCTTTTCTCCACCTCATGGCCAGAATCCCTAGAACTTATTGCAACAGCAGCAGAGCACTCCAATGCAGCCATCCGCAAAATGGTAAGTGTTGGAGGCTTCGTAGGTAATGAAAGCCAGGACGCCTGGCTCCTCTTTTCTCTGAAGCAGGTGGTCACCACAAATTGGTTAGAGTAGGCGTGCAGGGGGGGACTTTATTCAGCCTGGGGGAGGGATCCATATCCCCTTCAACCCCTGTGGGTCATTTGGACAGAGGTGGGTTAAACGGAGAGAGTGGATAGCTGCCTTGCCCTAAGATCACCTACTGAGTTTCATTACCAACTGGGGATTTGAACCTGAGTTTACCTGCTTCAAGTCCAACACTCTCCCCGCCTGTCTGTTTTAACAAGTAGAGCTGGGTGCCATATATGAGTTATTTGCCAGTGATCTGTACCCCTTTCCAGGAGAGGATGCACTCGTTGCTGAAGGTGTATGAGCTGCTTGGAGGTGAGGAAGACATAGTGAATCCCACCAATGAGCTCATCAAGGAAGGGCACATCCTGAAGCTTTCTGCCAAGAACGGTACCACTCAAGACCGGTACCTGATCCTGGTGAGAGGAGGTGTTGGGTTTTGCCCCTTTCCACCTGCCCCATCTCAGGAGAGGGCACAGCAAGAAGCCCTCTGCACCGTATGATGTCACCATTAACTCCTTTTCTTTCTCCAGTTCAACGACTGGTTGCTGTACTGCGTGCCCAAGCTGCGTCTCATAGGCCAGAAATTCGGAGTCCGTGCTCGCATAGACGTGGAGGGGATGGAGGTGAGAGGGGAAGGCAGTAAGGGGAGAAGAGAACCACGCAAATCTCAGTCTCTGGATGTCCAGCAAGCTCTTGGAGTTTTATCAGCTGCTCGAGGTTGAAACAAGGGCCATGGAACAGGATGGGTAGAGGGAAGGACAGGACTTGCCCTCCAGGCCGGGGTAATTTATCTTCTGACTCAGGAAGGGGGAATTAAAGCAGCATGATGTGTTTGGGTTACAGCAAACAGAAGTCAAGACTGTCATCTGGACCACACAGTCTGGTGTGCTTATGTCTTGATCTGAATAGGTGAACTGACTGCATTTGGAATGTGTTTTCTCACAGTGGTGATGGGAGTTCTTAATTTTTTAAATTAATCATTCTTTCTGATTTTTCTCCCCGTTATGTTCTCAACCAAACATCCTTGCTGCTTTTTATAGAACAATTAGAATCAGCTTTTTAAATAGCAAGAATATGCAAAACAACCTAAAACCGTTAGGGTGGGCAAGAAGCTAGGTAAATCTGCAATAAAGAGCAATACAATCATTTGCTTAATTTAAAAAAAAAACAAAAAACCAGAAATAACAGAAGCGTATTCTTAAACACTGAGGAAAATCCGAGTGTTTTATATTTCTAATTAACTGAGTCAACGGTATTAAGAATGGAAACCATTTTTCCAAGAAATTGTGTCTGAATCTAGAGATAGCTGGGGGAAGTTCTCACAGCAGGGTTCAACGTGTGATGATATGATTAGTTGTTTGCACAGGGAAGTTGCTCTTGATGCTGTAGCTGATTGAAGGTTAAGCGTGTGTCTTTGAACAACCTTGTGTCCTCCTTCTTCCTTACCCTGCAGCTGAAAGAGACCAGCAGCCTCAATGTGCCCAGGACCTTCCTTGTATCAGGGAAGCAGCGATCCCTAGAACTTCAGGCCAGGTACAGCCAGCAAAGCCAGTCACTTAGCCTCTCCTTTCTCAAAGCTGAAAGAATTGTCTTCATCTGGCGCCGCGGCTTTGCCCACCCCAGTAACTCTCCTCTGCTGCTTCTTATCTTCCTTTGGGAGCCCTGAATCCATTCACCTCCTTCCTCCTTTGCCCACCATCCCAGATCAAGTGAATCGGTGTATCCTCCCCTAATAACTCCTTAACATGCCTTCCAACGTTTGTCATTTTTCCTTAGGACTGAAGAGGAGAAGCGAGACTGGATCCAGGTAACTGCTGGCCTTTCTCACCTACCTTTTATCACTGTGAAAGATGGGTGTAGCTCGGGAATGGGGAATCTGGGGCATTCCAGAGGTTGTTGTACTACAGCTCCCATCAGTTGGCCCTGGCAGTTGGCCATGCTGCCTGGGACTGGTGGGAGGTGGAACCCAACAACATCTCAAGCTTCCTTGCCTCTGAAATAGAGGATCTGGCTCTTTATGGTCTTGATTTATTGGCTACTTTTAAAATGAGGCTGCATTTTAAATTGCATTTTAACCTGTATTGGTTCTTTTTTCTTTTGTCTTTTCCCCCTATTATGTTTTTACTGTTATTTTATTGGTGTTAGCCGCCCTGAGCCCGGCTCTGGCCGGGGAGGGCGGGGTATAAATAAAAATTATTTTTATTAATCTCATGCGGTTACATTTCCCATTCTGCAAAATCCTTCTGATGCTGGTTTGGGGGATTGGGAGAAGGGGGAGAGATCCTTCTTTTAATTAACAATGGAGAGGGTGGGGGTTTCTGGTTGATGCTTGTATGGATGGCTTTCATAGATCCAACAGAAAACTTAGGGGTCACAGGGCTGACCAGGCTTCTTCAGGTAAGAATAATGTGGTGCAGAATGACTCTGTGCCAAGTCAGCCTTCTTGACAATGCTGTGTGGGCCAGCAGACCCACTTGCCTATGGGATCACATGGTGTGCATTTGAGGGTGCGGCAGACCACGGCCCTGGACAGCGCGCTCACACATTGCGATGCATGAGGTGGCCTGACAGATCTGTGCTTCTGCACCAGTGCCTGTGCCCCTGCATGACAGGGGAAATAGGAGGCCCACAGTAAATAGCTCTGTGAGAGATTTGGGTAGCTGTTTCCTCCCTGAGCAGCCCACCAGTATGCGCCAGACTGAAACCGGGATTGGAGAGAAGTGTGGGTGCCTGCTGGTCCTTGCCTTCTTGTCCTTTTCCTCGTTGAAGCAGGCTGGGGTTCTGCTTTCCTTCCCAGTTCAGAGGCCTGTTTATCTGTGGCCACTAACACTGTCTTGTTAAAACCATCAGGCGATACAGGCAACAATTCAGAAACACGAGCAGACTCTGGAGACATGCAAGCAGCTGGTCAGCGAGGATGAAACGCCACCCAATTCGCCTGTAAGTCCTGCCTTGGTGTGTTTGATGAGACCGTGTGCTTTAATATGTGATTGAATGTGGTTCAGTTGAGAGATAATGGAGGGGAGGGGGAACTACAACAAAGATAACCCAATTCCTGCGACAAAAAACCCTCAGAATTCTGTACTGTGTATAATTTCTGCTCACTAGCATGCTTTCTCTAATTTTGCATGACTTGACTCTGCTTCGTGGGGCAAACCTATGAACTTTCTTCCTGTCCCCTCCCCCACAGGGGTGTGAGCTGGGGCGACGGGCCCCCACGCCCATCCGGGAAAAAGAGGTAACCCTGTGCATGCAGTGCAAGGAGCCCTTCAATGCTCTCACCAAGCGGAGGCACCATTGCCGGGCCTGTGGCCATGTGAGTGTTTTCCAGCAGAGGGGTCGTCTCTTTCCCACTCCCAAGTGCCACCCCTGTTTCTTTCTACTTTTACTGAGAGCAGCCGCCTTGGAGGGGAGGGTGAGGTACGCAGCCCATAATAGTCTGGTCTAAATGCTGGTGTCTCCTCTGCAACCGTTTTTCCAGAGTGTAGAATTTGTTTCTGTTTTTTAAAAAGTTGCCTCCCTGTAGGGAATTTTCCCCATTCTGACTCATCTCCTGTTTTAGCCACGAGGTCTCAGCGCATTCGGAGAGAGGTCTGAAATAGAGAAACCCAAAGGGCCACATGAGGCAGTTCCGCATGCCACTGGGCATGGACAGAGTTGGACACCAACACATGTACACATACTCTTTTATGGGGAAGAATTAATTTGGTACGATGGCACGTGGGGATGACTCTTCTCTGTATGCCAGCTCCCTCCCCCAAGAGCCCTGAAAACTCTGTCTTGGCTAGTTTACACATTTAGGAAACTCAGATGGTTACGTTCTTTTGCAGGCATAAGTTTGCTTGTTGTGGGTGTTATTTTTTTAACTGCTTCCCAACTGGGGCATGGGGAATCTGGTACTTAAGAAAAAATGTTTCCAGGATGAAGGTTAAGGGGCTAGGCTCTTCTCCCTAAACGCGCTGGCTTTTAGCCTGCAGGGATTTGTTTTAAATTCAGAGAATCCACTCTCCACGGCCAGCCCGAGAAGCTCCTGTCCAGGAAAAGCTTTCTAACCCTCCATTCCGCTGGGTGCATAAACTGGCTCTGCAGCCAAGTAACAGCTCCTCTCCTCTCTCCCACTCGCTGCAGGTTGTCTGTGGGAAATGTTCAGAGTTCCGGGCCCGCCTGGTGTATGACAACAACCGGCCCAACCGTGTCTGCACTGACTGCTACGCAACGCTACAGGGCTCCCCCGCCAGCCCTGCCCCACATCCCAACACACCTCAGCGCCGGAGGTCCATTCTGGAGGTGAGATTGGCTCTCTGGGCCGTGGGAAGCCCTGTTGGCCACAGAGCACTAGCTGGCTTCCTTCCATGGGACACTTCCTGGAGAATTCCCCCTTGGCTTAGCCTTGCTTTAGCCTGCCCCTTGCAGCTTCTTGTGCAGAGTCTTGGCAGTTTTATCTGTGCTTCCTCTAATATTTCTCCACCTCCTTAGAATTGCAAGGGTTTGGACCAGATGACCCTCAGGGTCTCTTCCAACACTGCAATTCTATGATTCTATGAATGCAGCACCCCAAAATGGGAGGCAAACCTGCCTACATTTCCTTTCCCTCTCCGTTTCCTTTCCACAAACACAACGCCAGGGTTGTGGAAGTGTGAAAAAGCCACATCATGTAATATTGGTTGTAGAGTTCACCTTCCTGATCATCTTGCCTTCCAGCAAAGCGATCGGATTCTTTGGCAATCATGCTGTTTTAAAGTGTCTACTCCTCTTGGTTGAGTATATGGAGCTGTCTTACAACTGAATCAGATCCCTCCTCCTGTTGTCTCAGGAGATCTCTCCAAGATCTTGAGCTGAGCTTTTTTCCAGCCCTGCAGTCTGAGATGCTTTAGCTCAGGAGATTTGAGGGACTGACCTAGGACCTCCTCCATACAAAGAAAGCATGAGCTAAAGTTGCAGATAATGCAACTTTAAAAAAAATCTACTGTGTTATTTAGCACTTTTTTTCACTCTAAGAAGACCCACTCAAGTTAACGGACTTGACTAACTTATGTTCATTAATTTCTTTTTAAAAGAGTTTGCTGAAGGTATGGAAACTCTAGGAGAGGCTTTCCTTGCAGCTCTCTGTCCTTCCCTGTGTCCTGCTCATTATCCTACACGTCTAATTACTTAGTTATATCATCATCATCATCATCATTTAAATTTGAATTTATATACTGCCTTTTTTAAGGGAAATTCCTTTATTCCGAATAGGATTCCTTGCAAGAAAAGGTAAAAGTTGACAGCTATGCCGGGAATCTCAGGGTGGTTCACAGAATAAAATCAAGCTATAAAACCACAAAATACATAATAAAAATAAAAACAACAACCCAATAGTTATACTGGTCACTTGCTCTGGAGCAGCAGTCTTCCACCTTTACTGCACATTCAACGCAAACACACACTTTTACGGTGGTGGCAGAGCTGCTGTTGAGACCCACCTTAGATCCCAGTACTGGCTACTTATCCACCAGTTGAAGTCCAGTGCAGATTCTCAGATTCTCAAGGCTTTCATGGCATATGGTTGAAGCTCAATGCTTTACAGCCCTGAGAGGCTCTCAAAGTGGCTTGCAAAATAAAACTGCACTCCAACCTAGTGCAGGAGCAGAAATTGCAGGCTGTCCATACTGAGGAGCCAGGATTATTCATGCAGCATTTCCTGTCCTCCTCCTCTTTGTTTCTCTCTGGTGTGTCACACAAGGCAGCAGGCTCCCCCCAAACACTCTGGGGGCAAGGGGGTGAGGCTGAGTTCCTGCATCACACTCAGCCCACGCTGGTCACAGCCTTCCCTAACAGTCCCTCGCCACCTTCACCTTCCTTTGCCCTTAATCTTACACATATGGGATTGTTTTAAATACTCTTTTCCTCCTCCTCTGCTACTACAGAATGGAGTTTGTGGCAATGAGTCAACTGTGGTTCACCTACTGGTGCAAATTTCTAAGCTGCTTTCATATTTGCAGAGCTACTCAAAGTGTGCCTCTTGCCTGCATCAGACTTTAAAAAATAATAATTCTGTATTTTAAAAATAATTTCCACTGACCTCCTGTTACTCGGTGATCAACACACAAGAGCAGTTGGGAGATGCTGTAAAGCCACTTAGAGGCTGTTGTTTTTCACAGTCAAACGGTGCATAAATTTTATGAATTAAGTGAATAAATGGTAGTGCAATTCCTGCCTTGGGGGGTGGGGGCTGGACTGGATGTTCTCAGAGATCCCATTTCCAGCTCTCGGAATTGCAAAGTGATGCTCTCTGCTGATGGGCTGCCGGTTGTTGGGGGTTAGGACTGTGTGGGTCTCAAAAGGACACTTTTCTGGCCCCTCTGCAGAAACAGGCTTCCGTGGTGGCAGAGAACAGTGTGATCTGCAGCTTCTTGCACTACATGGAAAAAGGAGGGAAGGCCTGGCACAAAGGCTGGTTTGTCATCCCCGAAAACGAGCCCCTGGTGCTGTACATCTATGGAGCCCCACAGGTATGTATGGCAACGGCACGTGATTCTCCTGCATGCTGCTTCTTGCCCAAGATATTATTCTGGAGGGAAAGGAGAGGGCGAGGCCCCAGATCACCTTTGAAGCAGGGGTGGGGAGCCTGCGTGGCAGATCAAGGTAGTCAGGTGACAGCAAAAACTGCAAAATAATAATAATAAAATTAGCAGGGGCAATTAGTGTTAAATAGTGGGAAAGATGGACAAAGGACACAGCTCTGTTAGATTCACAGCTCTTTATTACAGCAGTTAGAACTGCTCCTGGAGTCTTGACACACTACAGCCTAGCTGGCTGCTTTATATAATACTAAGAAACTTGTAACAGTAACAACTTCCAACTAACTAACCAATCAGTGAGTGACAGTTCTCAATCCTTCATTTGCATACTGGTGGCCCTGAGTGAGAACTGCAGTTAATCTTAATACATAACAATTAGAATAAGAACTATTATTAGATTAGTGATGTAAACCTCCAGAACGTACTTTGTGTACTTAAGTTTTTACCTCTATCTTCAGTACATTTTATTTTGTTGCTATGGCTAGTGGCTGATGCAAATAAAGATTCTTTTGATGGTGCATGGCCCTCCAGAGGTTGCAGGACTCCAGCTCCCATCAGCCCCAGCCAGCATGGCCCAGTGGTCAGCAAAGATGGGAGCTTCAGAACATCCCTTGCCTGACTTCAAAGTATGCTTCGGCCTGGTGTTGGGAAGGCAGAATGCTGCGCTAGGCAGGCAGTCGACAGCCTGGCCATGTTTGTGGGCTTCTGACCTCTCTCCCTGCCTGTCCTGCAGGATGTCAAGGCCCAGCGCTCGATGCCTCTGATCGGCTTCGAAGTGAGCCTGCCTGAACCCGGCGAGCGGGTGGACCGACGCCACGCCTTCCGGATCAGCCAGAGCCACCTGTGCTGGTATTTCAGCCCCGAGACGGAAGAGCTGCGGCAGCGGTGGATGGAGGTGCTGAGCAGGGCAGGCCGCGGAGAAGAAGGCAGAGGGCCGCCCTCAATCCAAGAGGCAGATGAGGATACGGAGGCGGAGAGAACCTAGAGGCAGAGGGCTGGGCAGCTGGGAATTGCAGATTCTGCCCACTTGGGGAACTCGCTCACCATTCTCTGACCAGTATACTTGAACGTTCCTTTCTCCCCCTCTCTCTGGCACTTTCTTCCCCTCCTTGTAGTACGCATCAACGCAGCCACCCTGCCCCTGCCGCATTCCCAGCCGCAGAGGCGATGCACATCACACGTCCTGACATTTGCTCCAGGCCAGTTCCTGCTCCTAGCTGCAGCACCTAGTAATCAGAGCACCTCCACTTTCTTCCTTTTGTCCCATCCTCTGTGCAGGAAGAAATGGATGCGAGCGGGTGGATGTCTTCCTTCCAACACGTGCTTCCCCCCTTCTTTGCATCTTGGACCGAGATCCGTTCTTTCAGTCCCCACTGCTTACTTACCGAACTTAGCACTTACCGAACATACGTCCTCTGCAGTGGTTTGGGGGAATTGGGGCAGGGTAGGGAGAGAGTTGAGACAATTCTTTCAGTGGAATGCAAATGGGCATGGGAATTTTCCTCTCTTGAGCATTTATTTCCCTTGCTTGTTACCCTCCTCCCTGTATTTGTGTGAGACTAGGTGGCGTTTTGTCTTGTGATGTTTCCTCACACAATACTGACCATTTTTGGACCTGGAAAGGCTGATTTGAGGCTGCCTTAGCAGATGGATTATGATGACTTGAAGTCTCTCTCTCTCTCTCACCCCACACCCCCTCGAACAAAACAAGCAAGCTGGGACATGAGAGCTAGCTAGAAGAAGAACGAGCCAGGGTCCTTGTCCTTGCTATAGCATGCAGGGTCTCCTCTTACTGATAAGGCGGGCCCCCCTCCCAGCAAGTGGTGCCTGCCACCACCCAATCTTGCCTCTGCCAAGGGGTCCAAAGGCACGGCCCACACCAGAGCTCTCCTGTGCAAGCCCTGCTAAAGTGGGTGCAGCTGCACAAGGCTATAGGTGACATCTTTGTAACAACTGCTCTTCCAGTTTGTGCTTGAAATTTTACATATTGCAAATATGCTCCAAGGTGCTTTCAACAACGTGAAAGAATGCAATAAAATCACGTAGAAGTCAAGATAAATCCAACAGTAAAAAGGGTGTGTGTGTGACAGAAATAAGCTGCTGAAAATTGATCATGTAAAAGATACCTGGAAAAATGTAATCTACAGTTGATTTTTCTAAGTGAGCAGCAAAACCTTATGGCATGGCGAGAGCAGCCTGTCAAAGGGTTGCCTCCTGAAAAGGGAATGTATCCCTAAAATTTTAAAGTTATAAAAATTCCTTTTAAACTATGGAAGAAAAATCTTTCCCCTATTTCTAGGGGAAAACAAATTTGGGAGAAACTGAATACAGTATGTGATATATATCCCCCCCCCCGCCGAATCATAGAATTATAAAGTTGGAAGGGACCCAAAGGGTCATCTAGTCCAACCGCCTAAAATGCAGGAATCTCAAATAATGCATCCATGACAGGTGGCCATCCAACCTGTGCTAAAAACCTCCAGTGAAGTCCGTTCCACTGTCAAGCAACTCTTACAACCAGAAAGTTTTTGCTGATGCTTAGTCGGAATCTACTTCCTTGTAACTTGAAGCCATTAGTTTGGGTCCAGCCCTCCAGAGCAGGAGAAAACAAGCTTGCTCCATCTTCCATGTGACAGCCCTTTAGATATTTGAAGATGCCTATCAATATCTCCTCTCAGCCTCCTCTTTTCCAGGCTAAACATACCCAGCTCCCTCAACTGTTCTTCATAAGGCTTGGTTGCCCTTCTCTGCACATGTTCCAGCTTGTCAATACCCTAATTAAATTGTGGTGCCCAGAACGACACAGGATTTCAAGTGTAGTCTGACCAAGGCAGAATAGAGCAGAATTATTACTTCCCTTGATCAGAAAGCTATACTTCTGTTGATGCTGCCTAGAATAGCATGTGCTTCTTTTTGGTTGCGCATCACGTTCGGCTTGTGGTCTAGTAAGACCCCTAATTTTCATACGTATCGCTGGCAAGCTGAGTGTCCCCCCATCTAAGTGCTGTACAGCTGGTTATTCCTGCCTAAGGGAATAGAACCTTAAATGTGTCCCTACTGAAAATCATTTTGTTAGTTTGGGTTCAGTTCTCCAATCTGTTATGGTCACCTTGAATCCAGATTTTGGCTTCAGCATCAGTTGGGTGTCATCTGCAAATTTGACGAGCATACCCTCAATCCCTTCATCCAAATCATTTATAAAGATGTTGAGCAACAACAGAACCTTGCAGCACCTTACTTGCCATTTTTTTCCAGGGTGATGAGGAACTATTAGCGAGCACACTTTGGGTTCGGTCAGTCAACCAGCTAAAAACCCAGCAACCAGTTACCTCATCCAGCCCACATCTTACAAGCTTCTCCGCAAGAATATATTTGCCAAGCCTAAAATTATTTTACTTTTTCAACAACATGATGTGCCTAATTTACAACTTCTTTTAGCATATAAGATTGTACTATTTGGCATCTTAATGGAACTTAAGAGCAATCCTGTGGATTTTTTAAACCCACGCCGATGAGTAGAGCCTACTCCCAGGTAATTGGAGCTTCAAAAGCATAAATGCCATGCAGTGTGGAATCCTATGCCTACTGCGAACTAAGCACCACTGAGTTTGGTTTGGATATGTTTGGAACCTTGGTTTTGTACAAACAAAAAACCCATGCCACTGGATGCAGGATTTCCCCCCTAGTATTTGCAAACCTAGTATTCTCTGAATTTACTATTTTTCTGGCCTTCACATTTTTAGGATAGGTGGGCACCAGAATGAGACTCCATAAGCTGAATCTGAACACAGGCAAGACGTTACCCAAGAGCCTGGATGGCTACCAGTTAATTTTGCACAAAGTTGTGGGTTTTTTTGTGGTGCCTGCCTGATATTGTCAGCAAAATGATCTCACCCACCCCCTCCCAATTCTTATCCTTTCTGGGAGAAACCTATTAAGGTAGAAAAACCAGTTGCAAATGACCAGTTTACAATTTTAAGCCCCAATTTTATGCACCCCCAAGTTGCATTCATTTTAGTATTAATGTTAAGAACTGCCTTGCTCAATCAAAACAAGGTGTATCTGCCACTACATTACTCTATCTCTTGAGTTCCTCAACAGCAGGGTATGACAGCAATAGCCATTCTCCTGTTCTTTGCACCTGCCGTTCTGAGTGATACATGGAAGTGCCATTTACCTACCCTAGCGAATATAAAGCCAGTGATAAAACTTAAAAAATAAGATGAGGCCACAGCCACCTTTGAGCAGGCAAGCCCCATGCCATATAAAATAGGGTGCTTGTACAGCAGATGCTCCTAGCGGATTTTGTTGAGAAAGGGGGTCATTGCAATGGGGAGAAAAACTTCTCTCGCACAGCCTTTTCTCAAATGCAGTTGCTTCCCCTCTGCAATGCACTTAAACATGAGTTGGTGTTCCTCCGTTGTATTCCAATCCTTTACTGGACTGTCACAGGAGCTTCCTACGATCCCTCCAACATTTCTCTCCCCCTTCCCTTGCTTCTACTATTTCAACTTACATGTGAGCAGGTTGGGGGGGGGTGTCCTAAAAAGCAACACCCAACTTGGTTGCCCTGTTTTATGAGAGGCTCCTGGTGGGGGCCGTTGGTGCCTGTCCCAATTCTTTGTCATCCTCTTCCCACCCCCATCCCCATCGTGGTGTAGAGCTAGTGCATGTAACTTTTATATTAAAAAAGTCAGTATTAAGGGATATACAAAATCTTACCAAAATAATATTTTATTGTTGCTCATGTACAGTGGCTGGCCACTACAGAGGATAGGGAATGGGGCTTCTATTGAGAGAAGTGCCCTGTCCCACAACCAAGGATTTGTGTATTGTCCATGTTACTTTCTAGTTTCATTATTGTATTTGGTTTTCCATTGTCGTCTTTTTTTTAAAAATACAGAATTTTGTTTTTCTGTTATGCTTATCTGTCTGTTTCAATAATGTCTAGAACGCAATCTTTCCCTTCGGGATGGGGTTGGGGGGAAGATATGGGCCTGATTTAGTCTTCTGGGAGTTGAAGAGGAGGCAATGGAGATGTTGAAATCAGTGCCTTGCCATGGAAGAAGATATTTCCCTGCAAAAGAACCCACCCTGCTGCTAAAACAGCCGTTTTTAAGCACAAGGAGGTGGCAGAGGTGGAAGATGGCCTCCCGTGCATTGAAAAGAAAATCACTTCAAGGATCCTCAGCCCTTTGGGCCCTGAACCTGCATCCCCTTCAGCGCAGGAGAGCCTCTACCAAGTGAGGAGCAGAGGTACCAAGCAGCTGTGTCTGCACAATATACTTAGGCCTGTGCAGAAGCCTCACACACAGAGACCAAAAACATCTCTGTCATCCAAGTTGCTCCTTTTGATGCTTTAAAAATAAATATTAGTCTCTTGCAGCTGGGGGTGAGGGGAATCACACAATCCCATTTCCCCAGCCATGTCCCTGCCGCACCAGCTCAACCAGAACTCCTGCAGTCGTGGCGCCTGCCCCTTGTTCTTCATTTCTTTTTCTTCCTCACCAAGGTCCAGCCATCTTCAGGATCTGCACCGGAGGAAGGTGGTGGGCTGGGCTGGGCTCCATTCATGCTGGGAGCAGCACTGCAGTCCATAGCCTGGGCAGGGGAGAAAATGAGACAATGTTATCGGTGACTGGATTTAATTGCTGTTTTCTGGTTCACATAATTTCTGTTTTTAACATTCTGGGCCAAAAACCCAGTTTGTAGCCTTCACTGTTTGAAAAATGCAGTAGTCCGTAGGATTTACAAAGGAACAGAAACCTGTCTCTGGGCAAGTCCAAGAAGCCATGGTTCTCACCAACCAACTGCGGTCTAAATCTGCTGAATTAAATAGCCAGTTCCTTAACCTCATCATCTGACAAGTTTAGACTGGAGCAAATGGCTCCAGTCATCTGGACCTTGGTTATGCACCGTAACTGTTATTTCTCCTTCCTTTATGGCATTCAGCCATGTTTCCCTCCTCTTCCCTCCATCCTTGTGTCAGCCTACTGAGTTATGAAGAAACTTGAAATCTGAATAAAGCCAGCAGATCAGAGGTTATGCAAAACAAGTGACAGGCTGGCTGGCTGTTTTCATTTTCAGTGCAGTTTATTTGTCATACCTCTTCCTCCGTCCCCTGTTCCTCCTCACTGCTGCTTTCTTCCGCTGGCTTTGATTTTGCAGCTGCCACCTTTGCCTCTTGCTTCTTCTGAGCCAGCCGGACAATGGCTTCGTGCACTGCTGCTCCCTCTCCCTGCTGGCACTGACCAAAGAACAGGCGCAGTTGCTGGCTTACCTACAGTGTGGGAAGAGGGTCAAGTCTCTTTCAGCGAGCAGAGCAAGAACTTCCACAGGGCTAACCGCTGCAGCAATGCCCTCCTCCAGAGCTGGCACTAGAACAGCATCTTCCACCAGACCACACACACAGCTCCTAGAGCAGAGAACGGAAGCCAAAGGTTCCTGTTCTCAACGTATCTGCATGTTTACTGCTGAAGTTGGCAGCCATCTCATTATACTTCTATTCATACTAATAAAAATAGCCACAAGATACAGGGGAAAAAATGCCATTTATATTGGGGAGAGTTCTTTCCGTCTGCATGCACACATAAAGAGGGCTGAGCCAGGGTCAAAAGTGGCTCTGGGGCCAAAATGCTACAGTGTGCAAGTCACAAGGCCTTGACATGCACCCGTCCTAATGAAAAAAGAAACATTGCCTTAAAAGCCCCTCCTCCTCCTGACTTTTCTAGCTGGGAGAAGTGTCTGCCAATTTTTTTGCGGCTTAGGAAGCTAGACCTCCCACCAAGCCTAGCAACAGGGTGGGTTGAGATTGCTTTATGAGTAATTTACACATTTCTCTCTCTCCTTTGGTAACACTTCCATTTTTCTAAATGAGGGTGCCATAGAGGAATTGGTCCAAAATGGGTGCCACCAGCTGCTGCCTGACCTTCAGACAGAGAGCATTCTAGGAAGCAGTGTCTGAACGGCAGCATCTTGATATAAGCATCCCTCCAGTGTCATGGCCTGGAAATCTGGCAAGAGGCCAGTCTTGGTTTTCCAGAAGGCAGATCTGTTGAAATAGCTTTTAAGGCAATGGCAGTTTAGTAGCTATTCAGAACCAGAGGGACAATCTGAAATTCAGTCTCTCAAGTTCCACATTTGTCTTTGTAATTAAGGCGTGGTAGTTTAGGCCCATCAACATTAGATAAGTGATGAAATATCAACAATGATGGATGTTATGTTTTTATGCCACCCTTCCTCCAAGAAATTCAGAGTAACATACGAGGTTTCTCCCTCCTTCTAATTTTATCCTCATTAATCTTCTGGGAATGCCTAGGCCAAGAGGCAGTGATTGACCTAAGGACACCCAGTAGCTAAGCAAGTCTCCCTGGTTTAAGGCTCTAGTTTGCTGCTATGCTGTGCTAACTTTCAGTTGACTGGATAAACTGATCCTACTCAAAAAGCAAGAGTAATTTTGTGTGTGTGGTTGTTCTAGCTACCAGTTTTAAGATGGGATTTCTTGTCTTGCAGAAAATTGACAAAACCCTGCCTTTTCTCTGTTATACTACCCTCTGCAGTGCAAAAGGTGAGAAGCAGCATTTGGGAAAAATTGGCTCCCCAGATTTGGAAGGCCACTTCATCTGACATTTTCCTTCTTGCTGTTCTGTAGCTGCAGTGCCTCAATGTACGGTGCAAGAGTGCCCCACAGTGGTAAATGGCAGTCAGATCAGGGAGGAAAGAGGCAGTTAAAACGTCTGGGTCCTGGGGCTGGATTACACAAATGAGGGAGAAATGGATACAGCTGGAGCGGAAGGTGTGACAAAGAAAGCAACCCTATAATGGCAGAAGAATCTATCCAAACACAAAAAAAGGAATAACTAGTTTGATGTGTTTGTGCTGCAAGGTCCAAAATTCAACTTCCTGCACTGCATCAAAGGCATCTATATGAGGGCTGAGAATTTGAGGGTTAAAAAAAGTTCTATTTGTATTTGCAGAAAGGCTTTGTAAAGGCAAAGTCTCAAGTGCATTTTTTTTTAAAAAAACAGCTTGCTGTGAACTAGCAGAATTCATCTCAATGGCTGCAGTTTTGGGTCTGCCTTATAATAAGCTAACATTCCTACCCCAAATTTTGGGTTTTTTATGGGTTTTCCTTCATATTGAGGGGACTGGGGGCGAATGGTTTCAGCTCAGATTGGCTAGCAATCCTATTTGTGATTTACATCCTTGGCTTGCTTTTGCTCTCCAGTTGTGACACTTCATGCAATGGATTGTGTAGGTTCCTTTGCAGGACACTGACACGGTATGGACTTGGTGACTTTCTGGCCTTCTTTCAGCCCTATGATTTTTTAAAGCATCCAATCATCGACAAGGAAAAATCAAGCCGTTCATGACCTCCCACGTGCCCTGGTGACTTGCAGACCAGTCTGCTAGACTATCTAAGCCAACCCCACTTGAGGTGTCAACAAATACTGAAGCATGGCAAAGTGGGCACACCTGAGACTGGCTCTGGCTAGGTACAGAATGGGGAGAAAGAGAAGGTGCTGAGTCCCATTTCAGTCTAGAGGAAAGCAAGGGTTTGGGGAGCTCTGGGAGCTGCAGGAAGAATCATTTCTGACACCAGCTTCACAACCAGCAGACAGTCACTCTGCTTCAGACTGTAAAGAGGGAATTGCTCATATGACTGAATGCTCCTTTGTACCTTCTGGACGCGGGTGGCGCTGTGGGTTAAACCACAGGGCCTAGGACTTGCCAATCAGAAGGTCGGCGGTTCGAATCCCCACGCCGGGTTGAGCTCCTGTTGCTCTGTCCCAGCTTCTGCCAACCTAGCAGTTCGAAAGCACGTCAAAGTGCAAGTAGATAAATAGGTACCGCTCTGGCGGGAAGGTAAACGGCGTTTCCGTGTGCTGCTCTGGTTCGCCAGAAGCGGCTTAGTCATGCTGGCCACATGACCCGGAAGCTGTACGCCGGCTCCCTCGGCCAATAAAGGGAGATGAGCGCCGCAACCCCAGAGTCGGTCACGACTGGACCTAATGGTCAGGGGTCCCTTTACCTTTTTATCTTAAAAAAATATTCTAGATGTACAAAACTAGATGCAAGGGAGAAAAGTTCCGAGTGTAGCTTTCTCCCCAACATGATAATTTTGGAAGTGTAATTTTTTCTTTTTACACCAAGCAACATTCAGTCACATAAGCCCTTATTTGCAGTTTGAAGTGGTGCAGGCTAGTTTTTCTCACCTGCTGTTTGTGAGAAACAAGTCCTAAGAAATACCACTGCACTCTCATAAGTGAGACAGAAGATCTAAGACAAGAGACGATGCTCATCCTCAGTGGGAAAACCAGCCAGTGCAGGTTTGCAGGAAGGAAGCAAATTTGACACGGCCTGGGAAAGACCTATACAGTCCCTTGGAGCACCAGACTAGATGCTTCCATCCCAACAGAGTGTGTGTGCGCGCGTGTGCAGGTGTAGGGAAGAGAGGGCCTTGCATATACCTGAGCTAAGCTTCCATCTTCTATCATAGTGTCAAATTCATTGTTCATCAACTCGGCAAGGAAATCTTCTATCTCATCCAGCTCCAAGTCAGCTGCAGAGAAGAAGGTAGACAAAGAGTTAAAAGTCTGTGTAGAAAAGAGATAAGAATTCAGTGATTCAAGTGGCCAGGAACTCCGTAAGAGATGCCAGAAAACAGGGATGGGGACCCGTTGGCCCTCTCAGGTGTTGCTGCACTGCAGCTTCCATCATTCTTAACCGCTGGCCTTTCTGGGTGGGGATGATGGGAGTTGCAAGTCCAACAACATCGGGGTGCACAGGTTCCTCCATCCCAACCATAAAGGTGGGGATTCAGGCTCACAGATAGTACCCTGCCCAAATGAACCCCAAAGCCCCCAGATGTAATCATTCAACCTAACTCTCTTGCCAGAGATGGATGCACAAGACAGGAACTCGTGACCTCAGACAACATGTTAAACCAGATGTCTCTCCTGGTCTCCTAAACAGTTGTGATTAGCGGAATGACACTTCCGTATATGGCTGAGCTTTTCAGAATTGTAATAAAATGATTCTACCATATTTGTTTTGTCTCCATTCCATTTTAGAACATTCTGAGGGGGTTTCTTGGCCTACCAATGTTCACTGTGACAGTGAGGACCCTGACTTAGAGCAGCACTGAATGAGCAAGATGCTCTGCTCGTTGCTGCAAGCACCTCTCTGGCTGCTACTTCTAGGTAACTGTGAGACCAGCCTGACTTGAACTGCCCACAACACAAAATAAAATGAGGGACCCACCATGTTGTACCAAACACAGGGCAGACCCAAAGTCTGTGGGTCTCCTGTCTCCCTTTTAGTGGACCGGGTTAATATTTGTCCTGTCACTGATGTTCACAGATGAATACTTTTATTATTCTTATTTTCTGTTGTGGATTTTACATGTTTGATAAGTTGCTCTGTAATTTAATATTTCTTAAGTTGCTTTGAGACGTTTTGTTAACAGCTATGAGCACATAAAATAGTAACAATAATAGGTTTATCTTCCATGGAGTCTGCTATCTGGTTCAACAGAACATTATCTTGTTTAGGTACCTTACCATTGCTTTGAAAGTATTGCTCCACAGCCTCCACCATCCATTCAGCTTTCTCTTGGCTGTATGCCCCTCCAAAGCCATTTTCAACTGCGACCTGCATCAGAAGAAGACAAAGCTACGTTCATAAAAGAGAGTAGTTAGGCAGTTCTGCAGGAAGCAAACTCCAAGCTAATGAGTTGAGGTTGCTTGGAGTGAAGACAGAGATTTCAAGAGTGCTGGGCCTGCTTTAATACTATCTTACAACAAGGTGATATCCAATGTTGATATAGCCAGTGTAGATCCATTGAACATCAAATGACTTAAGTAACTGAACTCCATGGATTTTAATGGGCCAGCTCTACATATGACTTAGCTGATACCACCCACATGTTTTCAGTCCTGGTTTGCACTACAATAATGTAACAAAACAGTTTTTGGGGTTTTCAGCTGTGTTTCAGAAGATGAATTGGGGGAAAGCCACTCCCTCCCTTTGTCACAGATGTGTTCTGGCCATGATGGGCAGGGCATCTACTGGGTAGCATCAGTGACATCACCAACACCACCTCCAACAATCCTTGGAACCTTTATTTTTTCATTTAAGATGAAGGAGAAAAATAAATGTGTGTCAAAATAGTCTGCCTAAAGCACAAAGGAGGGGGCATGAGTGACAGCCCACATGTACAGTGACACAGCTTTCCATTTTCCTGTTTGTACTTTTGTACCACTTCAAACTGCAGATGAAGATCTCCGTATAATAACTAAAAATAAAGAAGTGAACTACATTGTCACCCCTGGTTATTTCAAATCTCCTGGTTCTTTTTTAAAATAAATTTTAATGGGGCTTATAAAGAAAAATACAATTATTATCAAATATCATTTTTTGTCCAAACTAAAACATTAATCTAATAGCAAAAAAGAGAATGTAAATAAGATGATGGTACCAAAGAATGATTGTTAAGAGTGTTTATTTTAGTTTTTGATTGTTTGTTTTGGTTTGTTTTCTGTTTAACTGAAAATCTCAATAAAAATAATTTTTTTAAAAAAAGAAAACAGAGAAAGAGGTAGAAAAAAGGAATAGAAAAAGATTGAGAGAAATTAAGGAGCTAAAGAACTTCTGATTCCTCATCTGACCACTATATACAAACATTCATTTACTCCACTTTTAACACCTAATAAAGCCACTTTCTAGTAATCATAACCTTCAACCCTCAAATCCAAATGTCATTATTTCTTTTTCTTTTTAACGCAAAGCCTATGAGAGGTTTCCAATCTTCAGTAAATATTAACAATGACTTTTCTCTGATTAAACATGTCAGTTTTGTCATCTCAGCCAAGTCCATTAATTTTAGCAACCATTCAAAATCTTTTGGTTCTTCAAAGTCATGCAACACTGAGAAGATCAGGCCTAAGGCCTCTCTAGTCCAGGATCCAGTTTCCTACACTGCCCAACCAGAAGCCCACAGGCAGGAGAGAAGGGCAATAGCACTTTCCCACTGCTGTTTCCTGACAGCTGCTGTTCAGAGAGGCATGCTGCCTGATTCCAGAGACAGCATGCAGCCATGACGGCTAGTAGTCATTGACAGCCTTACCCTCCATGAATAAGTCTAGGTAAAGGTAAAGGGACCCCTGACCATTAGGTCCAGTCATGGCTGACTCTGGGGTTGTGGCGCTCATCTCGCTTTATTGGCCGAGGGAGCTGGCGGCATACAGCTTCCGGGTCATGTGGCCAGCATGACTAAGCCGCTTCTGGCGAACCAGAGCAGCGCACGGAAACACCGTTTACTTTCCCGCCGGAGCGGTACCTATTTATCTACTTGCACTTTGACGTGCTTTCAAACTGCTAGGTTGGCAGGAGCAGGGACCGAGCAATGGGAGCTTCCCCCACCAACCTTCTGATCGGCAAGTCCTAGGCTCTGTGGTTTAACCCAAAGCGCCACCCGTGTCCCTAAAAGGTAAAGGGACCCCTGACCATTAGGTCCAGTTGTGGCCGACTCTGGGGTTGCAGCGCTCATCTCGCTTTATTGGCCGAATCCCTTTCAAAGCCATCTAAGTTGGTAGCCATCACTACATCTTGGGGAAGCAAAATCTACAGGTTAACTGCACTACTTGAATATGTTGCTGCCTTTTGTCTGGCATGTTTATTCAGATGTCAGTCGCAGAGTGCTTATGCCTAGGTTCTTTGGATTATAGCCAGAGTTTCCACCTGTATTAATTTTTCCAGGATGTATATCAGGTGCACAAAGTTGTGTAACGAATTCCTATTCAACAGCAGAGCATGCTAACCAACTGTAGCTATTAATTGGCTCAACACCAGTTGCGCATGTAGCTACCATATTGAACCCCTTTGTGGACAGGCAGATTTCAAAGTTCTGAAAATTATACTTATTCAGGAGGTATATTTGTATGCCATATTAAAACTTTTACAGATCTGTGGCTTCTATATAGGAAAAAGGAGTACTTTTCTAGTTGTATTTTTGAAGTTGAGAATTCAATTTTTGTGATAGCTACTCAGCCCCTAAGAAATTGATTCGTTTTAATTTATTCCATTCTTGTTCTGGACACATGCAGAACAGGGACCATGCTTAGAAACAGTGATGGGAGGTGGAAAATTTTCCAGTTCAAAATTTTTCTATGGATGTCTTTCAGTTTCATAAGGTCATTAGTAATAATGAATGAATGCCAGCTGCAAATATTGTACTGGGCAAGCTTGGCAGTTTCAAAGTTTTTAGCTTTGTTTGTTAAATACAATTAAAATAAATATGTTAAATTAGATCACAGTCTAGGCATCATAAAATTTTCCAATGCCAACTTACAAACATTTTCCAGTTTTCCAGAAAACCCACATCATGGCTTAGAAATACATCTAGCGGGAGCTGATATAATAAAGTTAAAAAGTAATGCTTAAAATGATGTCATGGTTGCAGAGAAAAGTTACCACCATTTGCACGTGCACATAAATAGCAGCAGAGAAGACACATTTACAGCCTCACCCAGTGCATTTTTACCCCTAAGTCCTGGCCTGTATTTTGCCAGAACCAGCAACCAAAGTGCACAGTAAAGTATGCCATCTGCCTCACACGTTGCTTTAAAAGCACATTTCCCCTTTCTACTATTATCTGAGCTCATGGGAAACAACAATTTAAAGGACGGTGAGACAAATAATAATACATTTTTATTTACACTCCGCCCTCCCCGGCCAGGGCCGGGCTCAGGGCAGCTAACACCAAATATAAATTACGATAAAACGTAATGGGGGAAAACCACCACCACCACCAAACAGTTAATTAAAATACGGATTAAAATACAGCTTAAAATGCAGCCTCATTTTAGTAGTAGCTCATAAATCAAGACCATAAAGGGAGGAAACATCAGATATTCACCCGAGCCAGCTATCCATGCTGGTCCTACATGGGCCAGCAAAAAAGGCAAGGGAAAATTTATATACAGTGGTACCTCGCAAGACGAATGCCTCGCAAGATGGAAAACTCGCAAGACGAAAGGGTTTTTTGTTTTTTGAGCTGCTTCGCAAGACGATTTTCCCTATGGGCTTGCTTTGCAAGACGGAAACGTCTTCCAAGTTTGTTTCCTTTTTCTTAACACCGTTAATACAGTTGCGACCTGACTTCGAGGAGCAACTCATAGCACGCGGTGTGGTAGCCTTTTTTGAGGTTTTTGAAGACTTTGGTGATTTTTGAAGCCTTTCCAAAACTTTTCCGACACCGTGCTTTGCAAGACGAAAAAAATCGCAAGACGACAAAACTCGCGGAACGAATTAATTTTGTCTTGCGAGGCACCACTGTACCAAATCCATATAAGGGGTCAAAGTGAGTCCAAGCCAAAGGCCAGGCAGAACAGCTGCGTCTTGCAGGCCCTGCGGAAAGATGTCAAATCCTGCAGGGCCCCAGTCTCTTGTGACAGAGCGTTCCACCAAGCCGCGGCCACTGCTGAAAAGGCCCTGGCCCTAGTTGAAACCAATCTAACCTCCCTGAGACTCGGGACCTCCAAAGTGTTATTTATGGACCTTAAGGTTCTCCGCGGGGCATATCAGGAGAGGTGGTCCCATAGGTACAAGGGCCCTAAGCTGCATAGAGCTTTAAAGGTCAAAACCAGCACCTTAAACCTGACCCTGTACTCCACCGGGTGCCAGTGCAGCTGGTAAAGCAATGGATGAATGTGATTCCGTGGCAAGGACCCTGTAAGGAGACTCGCAGTGGCATTCTGCACCCGCTGGAGTTTCTGGGTCAGCTTCAAGGGCAGCCCTGTGTAGAGCGAGTTATAATAATCAAGCCTGGAGGTGACAGTCACATGGATCACTGTGGCCAGATCAGGGAGAGAAAGGTAAGGGACCAACTGCTTAATATGGCAGAGATGGAAAATGCCACCTTTGCTGTGGCTGCAACCTGCGCCTCCATAGAGAGAGAGGTGTCAAAGATTGCACCCAAACTCTTGACAGAATCCGTGTAGCAGAGAGCTATCAAAGGCTATGAGCCAAGGCAGCTTTGTTCTGTCTCTCCTGAAGGAGGCGGTATGCGTCTGAATGCCACGTGATGGAAGTGCAGGAGAGGAGAGAAGTCAGATTAGCTTCAACCAGAGCCAGGGCCTTTTCAACTCTGGCTCCGGCCTGGTGGAACACTCTGTCTCATGAGACCAGGGCCCTGCAGGATCTGATTTCTTTCCGCAGGGCCTGTAAGACAAAGTTGTTCTGCCTGGCCTTTGGCTTGGAATCAAATTGATCCCCTCCCCCTCTTCCTTTCTCCTTCTGTGATGCAACTCCTATTTGGGGACTTCCCTGGCTTTTTTCTGGCCCATGTAGGACCAGTCTGGATAGTTAGCCTTGGTGAAGACTTGATGTTTTCATCCCCAAAAAAGTTTTTGATTTGAGTTTCCACTGAAATGAGGCTGCAGTCTGGTGTAGTGGTTAAGAGCGGTGGACTCGTAATCTGGTGAACCGGGTTCGCTTCCCCGCTCCTCCACATGCAGCTGCCGGGTGACCTTGGGCCAGTCACACTTCTCTGAAGTCTCTCAGCCCCACTCACTTCACAGAGTGTTTGTTGTGGGGGAGGAAGGGAAAGGAGATTGTTCGCCGCTTTGAGACTCCTTAAAGGTAAAGGTACCCCTGACCATTAGGTCCAGTCGTGGCCTACTCTGGGGTTGTGGTGCTCATCTCGCTTTACTGGCCAAGGGAGCCGGCATACAGCTTCCGGGTCATGTGGCCAGCATGACTAAGCCGCTTCTGGCGAACCAGAGCAGCACATGGAAACGCCGTTTACCTTCCCACCAGAGCAGTACCTATTTATCTACTTGCACTTTGACGTGCTTTTGAACTGCTATTTTGGCAGGAGCAGGGACCGAGCAACGGGAGCTCACCCCGCCACTGGGATTCAAACCGCCGACTTTCTGATCGGCAAGTCCCAGGCTCTGTGGTTTAACCCACAGCGCCACACGCGTCCCTTTGAGACTCCTTAGGGTAGTGATACAGCAAGATATCTAAGCCAAACTCTTCTTCTTTTAATGTTGTATTTTAATCTTTTTTTAAAGTTGTATTTCAATCAATTGTTTTTATATCGGGTGTTAGCCGCCCTGAGCCCAGTCTTGGCTGGGGAGGGGAGGGTATAAATAAAATTATTATTATTATTATTGCTTTGCTCATGTCCTGCTTGTATGACAGCAGAATGCTGGAGGAGATGCGCCACCCGCCTGACCCAGGGCGGCTCTTCTTATGTTCTTCAGCCAACTCCGCATTCTCTGCACCTGCGGCTGCAGGAAGGAAATGCACTTTGCACATGCTCGCCCTCCACGCGGCCTCTTTTGCTGCCATTTGCTGCCTGCCTCCGCCTCCCGCTCCTCTCCCCGCTCCCTGCCTGTGGCGAAGGAATCCTACCTGCAGAGCAGGCCAGCTGCCCAGGACAGCCTCGACCCCTTTTCGGAAGAGGCCACGTGCCTCCGCCCGCGGAGTCGCCATCACCAAGCGGCAGGCAGTCACGAGGCCGAGCGCCGAGCTATCGATGAGCAGAGGAAATGGCAGGCGGGCAGGCGGAAGGAGCCGAGCGCGGAGCCCGCGATCGCCCCGCTCCTTTGTCAACAAAGGCAGAGCCGCTTCGAGCCCAGCCGGCGGCGCGGAAGCAGTACAGTATTCCTGGACGCCATCTAAACACAAGGCGATATGTTGCTGGTCTTGCTCCGATGCTTGTTGCCAAATGCCACTGGGCGGCGTTGGAAACTCGGGGCTTCCGAGTAACCACGCTTGTCGGAACATTGACTTGGCAGACAGCCGCCATCCGTACAGCTACGATTCAGGCATCATCATGGAAAGCTAGGCAATCTCAGCTGGAATCGCAGAAAGTCCCCGAACAGGCTGACTTTCTGAAGATTTCAGTGGCTGCCTGGCAGGATGCCACAGATCGGAACCCAGCCATGATCCTGCAGTTTTCTTCCCCTTCTGCTCTCACCACAGCGGCAGCGGGAGCAACACCGCTCCCCTCCACCTACTGCCCGCTCCCACGGGCAGCTGTTGAATGAGTCAACCACCGTGGTAGCGCCCCCATATGCAATGCCCTAGCCATTTCATTTCATATGTCAATAGTCCTACCCACCCTATTGATTTATAAAATCTAAAATTGTATAACTATAGATTTCATAAATCTATAGGATTTTTAAAAATCGATTTTGTAGCTCTATAAACTGGCTCTGGGATTTCATTTGGGGTAAACTATGATGGCCAGTAGCCACCATAGATGGGAACTGAGCTTTGTTTCCATTCAAAAGCAGCACTGCTGCCTGCCAAACCCTAAAATAGCTACTCTGGGGCATGGGCAGAGCTGGGGGGGCACCTGCCCCCCCAATTCAAGTAAATAAATAAAAATACTTAACTAACTTACCAATTGCATAGCAGATAACTCGATTCTGCCCCCTCCCAACATAAAGCCTGACCCCCTAAAATAAATAATAATAATAATAATTTTTATTTATATCCCTCCCTCCCCAGCCGAAGCTGGGCTCAGAGCGGCTAACAACAATAAAAGTAACACAGTATTCTAAAATCAATTCATTCAAAAATCAATTCAAAATCAAATTAATGGCAACCATTGGGTTAGAGTTCTATGAGGATTATCAAAGGAGGGGGTCAGACTGTGCCTTGGCCAAAGGCCTGGTGGAACAGCTCTGACTTGCAGGCCCTGTGGAAAGATGTCAAGTCTCTTGTGATGGAGTGTTCCACCAGATCAGGGCCACAGCCGAAAAAGCCCTGGCTCTGGTTGAGGCCAGCCTAACCCCCTTGGGGCCCAGGACCTCCAAGATGTTTTTGTTTGAAGACCGTAAGGTCCTCCGTGGGACATACCACGAGAGGCGGTCCCGTAGGTACAAGGGTCCTAAGCCGCATAGGGCTTTAAAGGTAAACCAGCACCTTAAACCTGATCCTGTACTCCACCGGGAGCCAGTGCAGCTGGTATAGCACCGGGTGAATGTGATCCCACGGCGAGGACCCCATAAGGAGTCTCGCCGCAGCATTCTGCACCCGCTGGAGTTTCTGGGTCAGTCTCAAGGGCAGCCCCATGTAGAGTGAGTTGCAATAATAAAGTCTGGAGGTGACCGTCGTATGGATCACAGTGGCTAGGTCAGGGCCACAGTAAAATAAATTATGGCTGTGCCAATGAGTGGTGGTGTGGTCATCAGGCCATGACCCTTCTGAGACCTTTGGTCAGTGCCAGACTTAGCTGGCAGACCTGAAAAACATATCCCAAACACTAATGTATCTTCTCTCCATGAATGGCAGGAAGCCATTTAGCTGGGGAAAACCTTTCCCGCCAAGCACAAGCAGATACAAGATATTTCTCAGGTCAAACCTGAGGACCAAATAAAGCCAAGAATGCTTTTTATTCTGATTTGTTTTCAGGGACAGAAGACAATGTTGGCTGTTTATTGAGAATTCATTCAGACTTGTTTGTGGGGAGGTTAGATAATGTTGCATCAAGCAAATTTTATCCCACACTTTAAGTGCATTTCCCTATCACTATCCTTATCACAAAAAGTTCAGACTTTTGGGGAAGAGGATTTGTTGTGCAATAACTCCCAAACAAGTATAACGATACAATCTGAATTTGCCTGCAAGTGATTGAAAATCACACAAAAATAGTGCCAGTCTGGGAGCACCTTAAGAGAACTGCAGGAAGCAAGGGGAAGAATGTGGACTGATAACATCATGCATGATGGCAAAATAAAACCAGTCACAGGTATTTGAGTGCCTCCTTCCTCCCGTTCACAAAGTTCTAAATCCTGGACTTTCTAATCTGGACTTTCTAAACTTTCTTTCTGGGCCTCATCAATAGGAGTATAGCATCTAGATCAAGGGAAGTAATAGTGCCACTGTATTCTGCTCTGGTCATACCTCACCTGGAGTACTGTGTCCAGTTCTGGGCACCACAGTTCAAGAAGGACACTGACAAACTGGAACGTGTCCAGAGGAGGGCAACCAAAATGGTCAAAGGCCTGGAAACGATGCCTTATGAGGAACGGCTAAGGGAGCTGGGCATGTTTAGCCTGGAGAAGAGGAGGTTAAGGGGTGATATGATAGCCATGTTCAAATATATAAAAGGATGTCACATAGAGGAGGGAGAAAGGCTGTTTTCTGCTGCTCCAGAGAAGCGGACACGGAGCAATGGATCCAAACTACAAGAAAGAAGATTCCACCTAAACATTAGGAAGAACTTCCTGACAGTAAGAGCTGTTCGACAGTGGAATTTGCTGCCAAGGAGTGTGGTGGAGTCTCCTTCTTTGGAGGTCTTTAAGCAGAGGCTTGACAACCATATGTCAGGAGTGCTCTGATGGTGTTTCCTGCTTGGCAGGGGGTTGGACTCGATGGCCCTTGTGGTCTCTTCCAACTCTATGATTCTATGATTCTAATCTTGACAGTATCCTCAGTCTTTATTTCAATTATTACTTCTCAGTGCAGATTCTTCTCACATTCCAGCCAAAAAACATACCTCAGGACCCAATGTGAGATCATGAGAGTAGATCTGCCCTGCAATGGTGCAAAATCCTGGGTAGGGGATCTTTACTGATTTTTTTTACAGCCAGACACTAATACCTGATTCTCTGAACACATCTCACATCTTTGCTGAATTCCATCAGGAAAATTATGGATCAGATGCCTCATGGCACAAATCGGCATTGTCCTTTAGTGACTTGCAACACAAACTGATACATGTCTACTCAGAAGTAAACTCCACTGTATTCAATGGGATTTTCTCCCAGGGAATGGGTATATAGGAGTGCAGGAATATAATCTATATCTGTAGTTTCTTTCCAGAAAGATGCACATATTGTTTGAAGTTGATAACATTTGTTTTCTGCTGCTTTGTTTGGAAAAAAAGAGGGACCACAGGGCAGCAGAAGATAGCATGCCGTGGATTTTAAAAAAAAAAAATTCTTAAAAAAACTTGTTCCAGTACTGTATAACAATGGTTATAGAAAAAAATAGGGGTGTTGGCTTTTGCTGCCCAGTTCCCCAAGGGACTGAGTCCTCTAAGCCCATGATTGGTCAGAGATGAATGGATCCATAGATCCATAGAAAGAAAGGCAGATCTTTGTTGCAACAGAGTTCCCTCCCCTCCTTGCAAGGAGGTAGGCAGAACAATGATGTGCAAGCCCCTATAAAGACAGCCCAAGACCACCCTCCAAAATACCATACATACATCACAGAAGGAGGCAGTCTCCAGCAAAAAATTGAGTGTTGCTTCTCTCCTGCTAGGATACCTGATGATGCCTTACTTGGTTGCATTTTCTGGGTAGCCTGGCCATTCCTTTTAGATGCTAAATACTTTAGTTCCTGAATCTCTTACACATAGATAGTTTGCTCAGCTTAACTGATACTTGCCAGACTATTTGCAAGGAGGTGCAACCCCAAAGATAATTGGAAAGCTTTTCCCATTTCCTTCCTCCTTGCAGAGAAATACTCGAGGTCAATTTGGGAGTCAAAATGTGCTTCAGGATTCTCTCACCTAGTTGATATACTTATGTTTATGTGTTTGCCGTGTACATTTACGAACATTTATTCTACATTTGAGACCTTAGAATTCTTACAACTCAATGCATGGCCTTCGCGCCTTCTCTTGTCAACACTGAGGTAACTCCCGTTAAAATGCGCGGCAACGCAACGACCTCCCCCCCCGCCATCCCTTCCCATTACGGGAGGCAAAGCAAAATGGCCGACGTGGAATCTCACCCGCCGCTACTCTCCCGCCACATTCCCCGCCCGCCCGCCCGCTTTCTTCCCACAAGAAGAAACTACAATTCCCAAGAAACCCCGCGCGCAAATAGTCCGATGCCAAGGCTTGCGGGGGGGGGGGGCAGAGCTGCTGCTGGCAGACGCAGCCAAGTCAATGGGGATGATCCTCTCTCTCTCTCCCCTGGCGCGCGCTGCCTCTCCGCCCTCCTTCCCCGCCTCGCCTCATCTTAGCGGGCGATGGTGAGGAAACGGAGGTTTCAGCAGCGGGGTCTTTTCTGGGGGTAGTTTCAGTGGCTGTGGAGAAGTAGTTGCCCAAGAGTGAGGGGGGCGCTTTACCCGCCCCCCCCCAAAGAAGAAAGGTCAGTGAACTAAAATGGAGGCTCCGTCGGAGAAGGTCTTGGGGAGCGGCGTGGTCCCGACTCCCGAGGCGGTCCGCTCCTCAGTGCAAAAGTCCCGCGAACCACCTTTTGGAAAGCTCACATACGTGCAAGGGGCTCAAGGCAGCCTCCGGGCCGCCAGCCGCCTTCCTCACCACAATAACCCGGTGAGGGAGGACAGGCTGAGGCCGCCCAGAAGGGATTGAAAGCGGTGTCTTGGCGGGCATCGCCTTCCTTGGCACTGTAACCACCGTAGCAGCCCAGGCTGGGTCTCAAGCGGGATGGGGATATGGTTGTGGGCATCGATCAAGCCGGAGTTTCTGAGCCCTGCAGCGTTTTGTTTTTGCCTCTGGTCCTCCTTCCTTTCGGTTGTCACTTTCCGCTGTAGATTTCCCTCACACATGTCCTTAATTCGGGAGGCAATATGCTTACAGTATTTGGCTATGGGAGCTAATCTGAATGAAGCAGAAATTGGATTAAGAATAAAGATGTGATAATATGGAGTAAGAAGGGGGACATTAGCTATGAGTGCATGAAAGAACTGAAAGGTCCGCTCTTTTTAATTCTGAGAATAACTAAAGCATGCCATTCCTTCACCCTGGCAGTAACACATTACAGGAATGCATTCCCTAGTTCATATTTGGAGGACATAAGGTTCCCAACTACTCTTTTATTGGTCATCTGCAGTGTGCTAATTGCTGCTCCCAGATATCTCTGTCCAAGGTTTTCCAGCACACTTTCTGTTTGCAGGAAAGCAGGTAGCTTTTGGGATATTGGTCTCCTGTTTCTTACGGGCTTTCAATTAAAAACAACAACACATTTTTGAGTGGATGGTCAAACAAAGCAGTGCTATAAAAATGGCCCCTGTAATTGGAGGCATATTCTTTGTGGGACTGAGATTGTGTGTGTGTTTATCCCTGGAGATGCTAGGGATTGAACCAAGGTATTGAACCACTGCATTCAAAGTGGATGCTCCACCACTGAGCTATGGCCCCCCACAAGTGGTTTTCTTACACAGCATTGCTGACCTCAGGATTTATGGGATATATCTTCCAGCACACCAGGGGTTGTAGATCGACCAGACTCTGAATACTGATAAGGATTATGATTGGATCAACTGGGAATAGTTATAAATTCTATGTAGGATAGTAGTCCTGTGCCTTCACTAGGTCAGTGGTAGAACATCTGCTTTGCATACAGAAGGTTTCAAGTTCAATCCCTGGCATCTCAAGATAGGGGTGAGAGAGACTCCTGCCTGAACCTTTGGGAGCTGCTGCTAGTCAGTGCAGGCAACACTGAGATAGGTGAACCAATGGTCTCAGTATATGGAGGCGTCTTATGTCCTAATAGAAAAGGGAATTTCAGCATATGCAGGTTTTTCTGCTATGCTGTGATGGGAGGAAGTGCACTGTTTGGAATACTTATTTTTACAAGGTTTAGGAGCCCTGTTTTTTTATTGAAGCAGGTAGTACTAAGGGTGTTCTTTTTGTGAATGCATTTCAGTAAGAGCCAAAAGCAATTGTCTCAGCAGAATAGTTGAAACGGAGTGGGTCTATTCAAAAACCATGAAAGCCAGCTTTTGGTGATTAGGCTCTAGTATCCCTGCTGTTCCATTAGTTTGGTGGTTTTCAATGTTCCTGTATTTGAGATACCCCTTTCCCATTTATTTTTCTTGCTGGTGAGCCCTTGAGTGTTGCAGTGGATTTTGGAAAGTGGGGCACAGATTTCTCCTTAGGCTTGCTTTACTCATGGAACAGAAAGGGGTGCTAGAAATTGTATTTTATCACTTCAGACTGCAGGTGGGGTTGCCATTTTTTATGCTCCTCAATGTAAAAATGTTCCCTGCAAGAAGAACACCAGCATGTTGAGAAGAAAGGGACTACTATCTACCATAACATTTTTGTCTGCTGCTTTAGCTTTTAACTGTGGAGCATTCAAAACTTTGTTGCCCAACCTCCAGTCTGGAGTCGTACAATCAATTCTGCTACATCTGAACTCATACCCCCTCAGTCACAGACTATTGAGTGGTATTCAGCTAAGTTTTACTTAGAATAGAACCACTGAAATGAATGAACATGATTAAGACCTGTCCATTAATTTCAATAGGTCTACTATGAGTGAAATGTAATTGACTATTACTACTGTACTTTGTAAATGGGACGCGGGTGGCACTGTGGGTTAAACCACAGAGCCTAGGGCTTGCCGATCAGAAGGTTGGTGGTTCAAATCCCCGTGACGGGGTGAGCTCCCGTTGCTTGGTCCCTGCTCCTGCCAACCTATCAGTTCAAAAGCACGTCAAAGTGCAAGTAGATAAATAGGTATCGCTCCGATGGGAAGGTAAACGGCGTTTTCGTGCGCTGCTCTGGTTCGCCAGAAGCGGCTTAGTCATGTACGCCAACTCCCTCGGCTAATAAAGTGAGATGAGCGCCGCAACCCCAGAGTCGTCCACAACTGGACCTAATGATCAGGGGTCCCTTTATATTTACCTTTACTGTACTTTGTGTTCTGATGATACTGCAGCAGGCACCACCTCTTTTAAAATGGTGTTTGCCATGTTTGTTTTTATAATTTGTGTTTGTTTTTTAAATTTACTTGTATTTAAACCATTTTAAATCCTGATTAATCAGTATGGCATTTTTAATTAACAAAAGTTTTAAAACTGATTGAAGCTCTAGAATAAATGTGGAAGTATGTGTGATCTTTTCAGTTTTGTTTCTGGTGTTGGAAGATGAGAGAGTATTTTCAATGAAGTATATGTTAGAAAGACAATGGTTGTGGAAATTGGTGTAATTTTCATGTTTTTATTTTTGCATTGAACTGTGAGTTTGGTAGTGTATGAGCATCAAATGTGATTTACTTCTGATTTAAATGTGCAAATTTGTAGTTGCTATGTATGTTATAGTTGCATTTGTAAATTTGTGGTTGCTGTTCTGTTCCTGCACAAGAGCTGCTGAGAACGTGAGGCTGTCTCTGTGTGTGCGCGCACGCACGTTTTGCTGAGCTTGGCATAGTCATGCTAGCACATCTTTAAACCGACTAAATTAAATGACATGTGTCTGCAGAAGTGAGCTAATACTATCACCATGTCTTATTTCTGCCTACTTAATGCTCTCACAGAGAGTGGAAATCTCCACTGCTGAAGATGGGAAAGAACATATTCGTTTGACATCCGGGTGTTCTGCCTTTATACACCATCCATCTCTGTGTATCTTTCTCCCCCTCTCTTTTATAGGGCAGATGGTTTACCCCATGTAGTTTGCTTCATTGAGACTTTGTTGGCATGTCAAGCTGTACGAGGGCTGCCTCTGCTTCCATCTCCTCCTCCTCCTCCTCCTCCTGCTCTCTGTGTATATATGGAGGGGTTTCCTCCGAATAGTACAGCCCAGACAGAAGGTAGAAGGGAGAGGATTGCTCTTCACCTGCTTATCAGACGAGGTTCACCATTACCCGGAAGTTCTTCCTTGTAAGGAGGTGGGGGTCTTTTTCCCCCCTCGATGCAGTAAGCATCCCCCACCTCCTTTTTACTGCTTCCATGGGGTTTGTTTGAGAGGAGTCCACAGAGATGGAGAGATGCTTCCCCGCGGGCGCTAGCCCAAACCTTATACACTTGGGTAAGGAGGGGGTGGTCTAGGGATGGTTTTTGTTCCCTAAAGGATGGGTGGGTAGTAAGAAGAGAGATCGCAAAAAGAGGAGGGGGTCTGGGCGGCTTTTGTGCATGTGACTACAGTATGTCTGGATGAATCGCCGTGCTGAGCACTGTTGGGAGCATTGGTGGTTGGAGTAGAAAATGGATCCGGCCGGGGATTTATGTTGTTATCTAAAGTACCAATACTTAGAAATTAATTTATTTGAAATCAACACGACTTAGTTCCTAGAAAATATGTGCAGCCTTGAGGTATCAATTAATCCCCCCCCTCCAGGCTGGGGGTGATTTAATCTGTGAGTGGTGGTTGGTGTTCAAAAGACAGGTGTGTGTGGGGGGGGTCACGATGGATGGAATTTCTTTGTTGGGTGAGTCATGTGCTCAAAAATGATGAGGCAGGGAGGAACGATAGAGCTGGAATTTTATACTGATATTTTATTTAGCATGTGGAGGAAAGAGGCAGAGTACGTGTGTATAGAATTCCAATGGACCAGATAGGGGAAGAGAAGAAAGCCTCTTCTTAAATTATTTGTGGCTTTTACTCTCATTGTTCCACAATGTCCTATTAACCACATGCCTAAAAACCCCCTCTATTTTCCCTTTTGTATGTGGTTTCTATTATTGTTTGTTTGCATCTACCCTCCTGTGTTGTGGTATCAACCTCATTCTGCGGGATTTTTTTTAAAAGACCTTTTGTGTGTGGCTGTGTAGTTCCTCCACCCCTAGGAATTTTGCAGACTGGATTCATCAGTGGGTTTTTTTCCTCATAGAGGGGAGAGTGTATATGTAGATTGTGTTTGTTTTAAAATAACTGTGGCTACAATACTAAACACACTTCCTGGGGGAATATCCTCCACGGGACATCCTGGGACTTTCTTCTGAGTAAACATGTATAGGATTGTGCTGTTTGAGTAATTTAGCTTTGTTGGTGAAATATTTCAATTGGGATGGGTGGGGGGTTTGATCAGCACTTCCATCTGGGGCATCTCTCCTTGTCTGATCACCCAAGTTAAATATATAGTTCCTTTGCTTTCCTTAGATGGATTTTTATTAATTGTTCTTTAGAACCATTGCAGCTGTTTGTCTGTTTTATACCTTATATTATGTTATTTTTTGATACTTTAATATCCAGCTGCCTTTAGGTTGCATTTGAAATGAAAGTCATGTAATAGTAGGGACAAATAGGTTGGTGAGTGCTTTCTGCATACTTTTGTTGTGCATTAAAAAGTATAAATCAGACAAACCCAGGTTTCCTAGTTGTATTATGAAATTTTGCTCATGGTATGAGACTGTAAAAAAAGGCATTTAAATATATCCTGCAGCTATCTAGGTTCCTGGTTTAGTTCCTGTTGCCGGCAGAAAGGTAAGAACTTGGGAGCTGAGCAGCAGATTTTATTAACTGGGTCATGAAAGTGGAAATAAAGTCCCCCGTGACTTGGAATTTTGGCTGCTAGATATCCATTTGTCTCAGAAAGGTGCAATGCATAGATCAAGTTTCCATTAATCTCTTGTTGCTTTGGCAGTATGTAAGAATCTCTGGCAATAGGGTGGTGGTGGTGGGGTCCCTCAGAGGGTGTTGCTGTTGCAGAATTCTGTGATTTATTCACACCACTCATCAGAAGGAGCCCTCTGTCCCCTGTCCATGAGTTTATTGCTAGTGTCTGCAATTATGATTTAAAAAAAATACAAGGCTCCTTAGAACAGAACCTGAAAGCAGAAACAATTCAGATTATTTTAAGTTACTGTTGAAATGTACATTTTAAATAAAAGTCATGTAGAGTTCCAACAGTTCTAAAAAAAAATTAGCCAGCTGTTATTTGTGTGCGTATCTTTGGGGAGCATAGCAGACAGTTTTGACTTGTAGCTGAACCCAAATACTGCTGTTGGTCAAAGACCAAGACTCCTTAAAAGAGGTTGGGTCCCTTACTGAATAGTTTAAGCATCAGAGACTATGCATTTCAGCACTAGCCTGGTAGCCATGGGCAACAAGGAATTCCATGTAGGTGAGTGAGATGGAGTGCTTTGTCCCTTTTCTGCAGCCAGCATAGAAACACAACAGACTGCAGAAGGGATCAAACTCATCATCACTCGTCAGCTAGCCCCAAGTAGGTTAGTATACATTTCTCTTTTTTTGCATTCTTATAGCTTTTGTGGACTTCTTTACAAGGTTGTATTATTTTGTAGAGTTAACAACAATTTTACCTAATTTAGTATCTTATCCATCTTTTTAATTTGTTTGTGGGTGACTTTTAAAAAGTGGCAGCAAATGACTCCTATTGAAACCTGAGGCAGTTAGAACAGGACCAGAAAGGGACCACAGCTCCCTTTATCAACCCTATTAGGCTAGACAAGCTTGGATTTTGTGTAAAATTTAAGAGAACTGTTCTGTTTCTTGGACCTAGTAGTAAACCCTAACACTAGACTTTGTACCTCTCTCAAAATAAGAGGTGGGCATTCCTTCCCTCCATAGGCATGGCTAGTTCTGGACTTCTCCTTGAGTGTTGGGCAGGAGATTGCTTTGGGATTATTGTTTTAGTTTTGTATGCTGCCTTTTTGCTTCCTATAGTCCCTTCTCAATATCCAACATGATATGGATTCTTCCCTTTTTTATATACCTGCCTTCTGAGCCATAGTGGGCGATTCTAGCAGTTTTTATTTTGCCTAAAGTATGGAGGAGCATTGAGTAAAAGAGACAGTCAAAGACTGAATTGGAAGTATAGGTAGTTCTGTGAACATTGTGATCAAATATGGAGGACCAAATCACACTTCTGATAGTACAGATAGAGAAAGCATTGCTTTTAAGTCAGGGTTCCTGGTTTGTCTTATGTTTCTTTTCTACTGGCTAGAATATGTAGATTTAGCATAGTTACAATGCTTGTTTACTGATCATAATGAATATGGTACTGTCTGTTTAAACTCTCCTAAATGCCTCAAACAGCTTTTTCCTAATTTGCAGGTGAACTTTTCCCAGTCCTGAATATAGCTTGAGTATATGGCGCTTTGTCAAATGATCAGCTACAAAGTCACAGCTGTTCTCTATTCCAAGAGTAGCAGATATTTTAAAGTAAAATCATTTTTTCCTGCATAGGTGAGGTTGAGACATTTCCTTGACATTTCTGAAGTCTATGTTATGTTCAAGAGTTGATATTCTGGCAGATGCTGCATTTGTAACACTTCTGGCTCTTCCCATGCCTTGTCCAGGGTTTTCAACGTAGTCTTTAAGAATGAACACATGGGAAGAGTAGCTTTTGCATATTGTGAAGAAAGCGTACTGGAGAAAATATTTTGGGTGAAATCCAGTTCAAGCGGAACAGCTTTTGATCCAGCTGAGGAGTCTGCTAACATAAGAGAAGGGAAGGTGATTTTTGCTGATTTTTCTCCTTCCCACTGCAGCCTCCTGCAGCACCTTCCACACTATTCTGGAGGGTCACCCAACAGTTTGGAACAAATTTTCAACAGGCGTGGTGGGAAGGGCAAATTGTCAAAAATCACCTCTCCTTGCCTAACGTTAGTAGACACCTCAGGTGGGTCAAAAGCCATTCTGTGAGCAAAATGGCAACGTTTTATTTCACCCTTTGTTTTTAGAAACGTTAATGATGATGATGATAATAATAATGGAGTTTTTAAAGAACAAAATACACTGTGGTTTCATATTCTTCTTCTTCTTCCCATAAAATATTAGTAGTCATTTAGATAGTGCTTTCTTAGTGTTGAGCCTCCTTTCTATATGTTATCAAAGTTATTCTAATAAATATGAGGGGCTGAAGTTGAGAGTGTCTTCTCAGCAGCCACCCAGTGAGTTCATGGCTAAGGTGAGCTCCTGGCTTGCATCTAAAACCCTTGGTTCCTATGCTGCTGCTGCTTTCATTCATGCTGGACAGCTTATTTAAAGTGGCTTAAGCTTCAATCACTTTTTGACTTAGCCAAAAACCAATCCTACATCTAATTTCTGGCTAACAGCTACTATACATCTATGTTCATAGCTTGTCTGATTGTGGAAGGTAGCCAAAACTTGTGAGCTGGCTCTTTTTAACTTTATAGATGTGCTGGTTTGTTAACCAGAATCTTTATTTTTCTCTGTCGGTAAAACTGTAACCTCTTCCATCTATGAATGCTGTTCTGAAACAAAGTTCAGCATCAACTATGACTGTTGTTTCCTCATCAGAGACTTAGAAGTAGGAACCAATGTAGAAATCATTTTGACGCTAAGGCAATTTCAGTTACTGTGGTTGTTAGAGATTCGTTTCTGACACTGAACGTGTTGATCATTTGTATTATAATTGTATGGCCAAGCCCACCCAACAAACTTCCTCAAAAGAAAATTTTCTGGACTGGCCTTTCTCGTCTGTCACAGAAGACTCTGAGATCTCAGATCTCTTTACTGCAACCCTTCCTCCACCCTGCAAAGCTTTATACCCATGATAGCTAGAGACTCTGTTCCAAAATATTTATGTGCATTATTCAGATTACAGATATGATTAATCTTAAAACTGAATCTGTTCTATTAGATGGCTAAGGTTTTGAAGAATCATGGATCAGGGAAGGGGAATCTGCTGTCTGGCCATTTGTTATCCTGCCCAGGTTTCTTTAATGTGAGTCAGAAGTTAATCCAGAAGCATTCAGTGCCAGAAGAGATATGATGGATTAGATAGTCATAGGTGGAAACAGCATTATTATTGTTTTTCTGTATAGAGTTGAATGGGACCTTGAGGATTATCCAGTTGAAGTCTCTGCAATTGTAGGTTTCCATTGTTCTACCATTTTTTTAAGGTTAAGGAAGATGATTGCATAACTTCTCTGGACGACTCATTCTAGTGCCCAACTATTTTTATAATATAGAAGAGTTTTCTGATATCCACCTTCAGCTTACTGCAACTCAAGCCTGTCACTCCCTCTTCTCATTGGCAACCATATTTAAAATATATGTTTATTGGCATATTTTATAAAATATGGTTACCAATGCTAGATAGCATTACTTTAGCCCTGTTTAGGGAAGTTTTTAATGTTTGATGTTTTATTGTGTTTTTCATACTCTGTTGGGAGCCACCTTGAGTGGCTGAGGCAACCCAGTCAGATGGGCAGCATACAAATAATAAAATCACTATTATTATTATTAGCTGAGACCTAAGCAGTGCTAAACAAGGTCAGTATTGCTGCTTCCTATGGCTTAAATATAGCATTATGTTAAAGGAGATGAACCCAAAATGCGTTTTTTGGCAATCCTGTCTACTGCTGACTTGCTTTCAGTTGTGGCCAATTATAACCTTGGCCATTCTCCACTGTATTCAAGTCTAGATAATTTCTTCAATTTTGTTTTAAGTATTTTCCTCCCAAGTTAGAGCTGTTAAATTGCATTTTATTGCTTTAAGACAAGACAGATAGCCAGTGCTTTCTCTCAGTATTTTTTTATCTGTTCTACTAGTTTTAGTCTGGCTAATTTGTGGGCTCAGTGCGCTGTAACCCAACCACAGTCTCCATGGTTGGGATGACTAAAAGGTAAAACAAAATTGAACCCCGAATAAGTAAAAACATTAAATTGCCCCCAACATTTCCGTGATCACATAGTCCTTGTTTTCTAAAATGACGTTGTGAGCAAATGAAGTAGTTGATTTAAAAAAGAACAAAAACAATGAACCTTTTTAAAACTAGCATTTGTGTATACAAGCTGGGGCTTCTCCGCAGTTAAGAGTCACCATGGGAATGTCACTAGCTCAGCTGGCTTTTGGCCTCAAGGGTGAACTGTTGATCATATGTCATATGTCTGCACCTGTTAGCATATACGCTTAGTACCATTTTTGCTAATGACCTTGGCAGCAAAGTTGCACCTGTGAATTCATTCACATTTTGCCCCATCTTGTCTTTTTGGTGGTGTTGGGGTAGCTATTAATAACATTTATTGTTACAGAGTGGGCAGGTTGTTATGATTAATTTTCATAGCATATTTGAATTTAGAATTTCTTTTAGCCTTTTGATTGCATAAAGAGAGCAGAGCTACATAAATGAGATATTGATAGAATTTCACTGGCTTCTTTGATATAATGTATCCGCTGTGTTGATCTGAGTATCACTAATCATTTCCTAGCCATAACATGGTGGTGGCGGACCTGCTGGCAAAGGTTGCCACAAATCCTAGTTATTTTGAGATATTTTGTCAGATGATTTTTGAAAATCCAATTTAATAATGGTTTGATTATAGTTCTAGCTACATGTTTAGCAACAAGCTGAAAGACTTCTCAATATTTGGTGAAGCAAATACTTCTTTTTACAAACATTTCTTTTTGTATTATATGTTCTGCTATAGCTTAATAACACTGTCTTTAATAATGCTGTTTATCAGCCACCTAAGACAGAAGGCTTGCCGATCAGAAGGTCGGTGGTTCGAATCCCCGCGACGGGGTGTGCTCCCGTTGTTCAGTCCCGGCTCCTGCCCACCTTGCAGTTCAAAAGCACATCAAATTGCAAGTAGATAGATAGGTACTGCTCCAGCAGGAAGGTAAACGGTGTTTCCGTGCGCTGCTCTGGTTCTCTGCTGCTCTTAGTCATGTTGGCCACATAACCCGGAAGCTGTACGCTGGCTCCCTCGGCCAGTAAAGCGAGATGAGTGCTGCAACCTCAGAGTTGTCCGCGACTGGACCTAATGGTCAGGGGTCCCTTTACCTTTACCTTTAAGACAGAAGTAGACTGACAAGTCTGTAATATCCTTGGTCTACCTTTAAAAAAACTGGCATTGCTTTGACTACCTTCCAGTTCAAATATATAACTTAGTGATAAGTCACATACTTTTTGTAAAAGATCAGCAATTTCATACTTGAGTTCCTTTTAACTCTGGGTGAATGCCATCCAGCTTCAATAAGTTGCCAGTTTTGAACTTGACAATCAGTACTAAAGCCACATCTAAAAATATTTGACATAGTTACTCTGATGCAATCCGCCAACACAGTTGTTCAGGTACAGGTAGCTCTCCAAAAGTTTCTTCAGTAAAGACAGAATTCATTTTGACTCCAGTACAATTTTCTTATCCATCTTCAGCACATTTATTTATTTATTTATTTATTTATTTATTTATTACATTTATATCTCATTATTCTCAGAGGAGCTCAAGGAGGCACACATAGTTCCCTCCTCCCCATTTTATACTCACAGCAATCCTGTGAGATAGATTAGGCTGAAAGATGGGGACAAACTCCAGATCACCCACTAAACTTTCTGGTTGAGTGGGAATTTGAACCCTGGTCCCCCAGTCCTAGTCCACCACTGTTAATCAGCACACCACTGGCTCCTTTTAATGGCTTGTCATTTAGAATCATAGAATCATAGAGTTGGAAGAGACCACAAGGGCCATCGAGTCCAACCCCCTGCCAAGCAGGAAACACCATCAGAGCACTCCTGACATATGGTTGTCAAGCCTCTGCTTAAAGACCTCCAAAGAAGAAGACTCCACCACACTCCTTGGCAGCAAATTCCACTGTCGAACAGCTCTTACTGTCAGGAAGTTCTTCCTAATGTTTAGGTGGAATCTTCTTTCTTGTAGTTTGGATCCATTGCTCCGTGTCCGCTTCTCTGGAGCAGCAGAAAACAACCTTTCTCCCTCCTCTATGTGACATCCCTTTATATATTTGAACATGGCTATCATATCACCCCTTAACCTCCTCTTCTCCAGGCTAAACATGCCCAGCTCCCTTAGCCGTTCCTCATAAGGCATCGTTTCCAGGCCTTTGATCATTTTGGTTGCCCTCCTCTGGACACGTTCCAGTTTGTCAGTGTCCTTCTTGAATTGTGGTGCCCAGAACTGGACACAGTACTCCAGGTGAGGTCTGACCAGAGCAGAATACAGTGGCACTATTACTTCCCTTGATCTAGATGCTATACTCCTATTGATGCAGCCTAGAATTGCATTGGCTTTTTTAGCTGCCGCGTCACACTGTTGGCTCATGTCAAGTTTGTGGTCAACCAAGACTCCTAGATCCTTTTCACATGTACTGCTCTCAAGCCAGGTGTCCCCCATTTTGTATTTGTGCCTCTCATTTTTTTGCCCAAGTGCAATACTTTACATTTCTCCCTGTTAAAATTCATCTTGTTTGTTTTTGCCCAGTTCTCTAAACTGTCAAGGTCGTTTTGAAGTGTGATCCTGTCCTCTGGGGTGTTTGCCACCCCTCCCAGTTTGGTGTCATCTGCAAATTTGATCAGGATGCCCTTGAGTCCATCATCCAAGTCGTTGATAAAGATGTTGAATAAGACCGGGCCCAAGACAGAACCCTGTGGCACCCCACTAGTCACTCTTCTCCAGGATGAAGAGGAACCATTGATGAGCACCCTTTGGGTTCTGTCAGTCAGCCAGTTACAAATCCACTGAGTGGTAGCATAGTCAAGACCTGCATTTTACCAGCTTCTTTACAAGAATATCATGGGGCACCTTGTCAAATGCCTTGCTGAAATCAAGGTAGGCTACATCCACTGCGTTCCCTTCATCTACCAGGCTTGTAATTCTGTCAAAAAACGAGATCAGGTTAGTCTGACATGACTTATTTTTCAGAAATCCATGCTGACTATTGGTGATCACAGCATTCCTTTCTAGGTGCTCACAGACTGTTTGCTTAATGATCTGCTCCAGAATCTTCCCTGGTATTGATGTCAGACTGACTGGGCGGTAATTATTTGGGTCCTCTCTTTTCCCCTTTTTGAAAATAGGGACAACATTTGCCCTCCTCCAATCTGATTTGATGATTCTACTGTCCCCAGTTTCCTGCTTGGGATAAACCAGACTTCCCCAGCCTGGTGTCCTCCAGGACTATTTATGAGATTACTAAAAAGGAAGGTTGCTTTTTATTTCTGAGTCTTTGAAATATACTTCAGCGGAATATTTTTACCTGGTCTGTAATTATGAAATGTTGCTCAAAAGTGAACTGAGATTGTTGACGGAAAAGAATGCTTTAACCCACACTTGCTTTGTGAGATAGTTCAAATATTTGTTTTATTTCCCCCCCTTGTGTTATATTTCTTCCCATATTGAAAGCTCACATTCAAAACATGCTTTCTCAAAGGAATATTTATCTAGCAGGGACCAGATACTTTTTGTCTTTAAAAGATGCTCAGGAGAACTGCAGAATAGTTTCCCGTGGACATGCTGTGATAATAGCTTCATTGGAGCCTTCTGTCAGGTACATTCTACTTAGCTGCTGAATGAACCACGAGGTTTCAGCCAGCTCTGTTTAAAATGAATACATTGTCTTCCCTACTTCCCCAAGATTAAACTTTGATAAAACAGCATGGTTGGACCGAATTATTTCAGAAACAAATTATATATTTAAAAGCCTTTGATGAGCTGGTTACAAAGTAAGGTGAAGGGAAGCCAAGTAGATGTGCCTTTGTTGCAGTACAGTACATATTTGTAAATAAACTTGGCACATGACTGCAAGTATCTAGAGGGTTTTAAAGGGAGTCCATTAACTCATCCATTTGCTTGAAGCTTTGTTGTTGTTGTATGCTAGCTGATTAAATGCATTTCCATTGAACAATTGATTTTTTTTTTCTTTTTTACATTTGAAAGCTGTTAAAAAAAGCCTCAAAACCGCATTCAAAATCCCAAGCACTGTGGCCACAGTGCTACCTTCATAATACAACATGCTAGCAGGAAATACCAGTTTATCCGGACTTAATTATTAAGCATCCACAATGCACATTCATAGCATGAGAATAGAAGTACTTCTTTCAGTTAATTTATAAGGAGCAATTGTGGTAAGGGCAGGACATAAAGGGAGTGGTGTCTAAGAAAAGCTGTTAGCTGGTTTCTGTTGTTCTGAGGAAGCATATGTCAATTTAGATACATACACTGCCTCAGATAAATGGCAGTACAGTATTAGGATTTTTGATCAACATTCTGGGGGTTCTGTTCCTTGCTCCCTTGTGTGACCCAGTGGAAGCAATATGATTCCTGTGTGTGTATGTACATACTTCCTAATTTCTTTCTGTTTGAAAGTTTTTTGCATGGAGGTAGGCTTGAAAAAATGTTTTTATATAGTCCCCGGTGTGAGGCCACAATATTCACTGGCCTTTCTAAGCATCCAACAAGAATTGGAATTTTGATATTTGTTTAGGTGAATGCAGTACTTTGTAATACAAATAATAAAGTGAGAGATGACCAACAGGAAAGGTGTATTTGAGAATGTTAGCATTAGTTCGGCTTTGGCAACTGGGTGAACTAATTTACAATAGTTGAGTAGGAGGGGAGGGGAGATACCTAGGTCAGCAAGTTCTTTTTGTACGTCAAACAATCAGTGCTTTTGTATACAGTATACTTGATGTAACAGAATATATTGAAGCCATTATTGTGTATGATTTGATCTATATTGCATGTAACTCTCATTGAGTTTAAAGCAATAATAAAGTTTCAGCAAAAAAAGAGGAAGAGCAAACAGGTTTGTGTTGCTGGGATTAAGGAAGACCAGATTAATTAAGTGAAAGCTGCGTTTTTGGTGGCTGGCTGCTTCGTATTTCACTTTCTAAAATGATCCTGTTTTCCCTCCCCTCCTTCTTGTTACAGGTTGCCATGGGAATCTTATGATAATCTGAGAGGAAATAAGTCCTGGTAACATTGCCGTTACTCATGATGTGCCTGAAGTGAAGAGGAAGGGAAACACTTAACATATCGAAGTGCCAAGGCTCTGCTGTGTCATGGCTACGGACTCTGGTGAATCAGCCAGCACAGAGGAATCAGAGAAACCTGATGGAGTCTCTTTGGAAGGTAGGGACTCCTCTGCTGTTGCCCCTTTGACCATGGAGACCAGGACCAAGGAGGATGTCAACACACCTGCCTCTGGGGCAACTACAGAGAGGAAAAGGTTTTTCCGAAAGAGTGTGGAGATAATGGAGGATGAAAAGGCCTTGGAACCCACTCCAAAGGATGAACAGGAGCAGTTTGTGGTGGGTGACCAGAGGGTGGCTCATCTTTCTTCCAGCGGTCTGGTGGCAGGCCAGGAGGCCAGATGTGAGCATGGCTCGAAGGTGAATTTGGAAGCTTCAAAGGAAAGAACCAAGAAAGAAATAGAAGAGGAGGCCGAGATGAAGGCTGTGGCTACATCGCCTGGAGGAAGGTTTCTGAAATTTGACATTGAGCTGGGGAGAGGGGCCTTCAAAACAGTGTTCAAGGGCCTGGATACAGAAACCTGGGTAGAAGTCGCTTGGTGTGAATTGCAGGTTAGTGTAGATGAGTTCCATCAGTCATTCATGTGTCTGTCTGGTTTCAGAAGGGCTAACTTTGTCCAGCTTTTGAGAGGTACATTTTGGGATATCCAGAAACCTACATGACTAAAGTGGTCATACTGCAGAGGCTTCTAATGCAGAAACTAGAAACTTGTATGGAATCTTGAGAAACCTGGCTTGCATTTTTGAAAAGAACAAGTTACTAGTCTTCATTGTGACAGATAAAAATATACAGTGGTACCTCGGGTTACATATGCTTCAGGTTACAGACGTTTCAGGTTACAGACTCCACTAACCCAGAAATAGTACCTCGGGTTAAGAACTTTGCTTCAGGATGAGAACAGAAATTGTGCTCTGGCAGCGCGGCGGTGGCAGCTGGAGGCCCCATTAGCTAAAGTGGTGCTTCAGGTGAAGAACAGTTTCAGGTTAAGAATGGACCTCCGGAACGAATTAAGTACTTAACCCGAGGTACCACTGTATTGCTATTTCTGCTAAATTCTTAGAAGCCAGAGATAATCTGCAATTGTTGGGCCACAGGTCTTTCCACTACTTCTGCCTCCTGCACTTCATTGCCACTTCTGAAGTATTAAAAATTTTGACACCTTTTACTCAGTTCATGTCATAAACTGGGAAAACATCCAATCATGCAGTGCTTGCCCCCCCCAATAAATAAACTGCACCAAATAAAGTACACATGTTAAGTAAATTTATGCAAATTGTCAACAGAACTGGGTTTTGTTGTGGCTTCAGTACATATTTTTTAAAGCACTGAATTTCAGCACCCCTTGGCTACATTCCTTGCCTATGATAGGATCTCACCTGAGTTGGTATTACTTCATACAGACTTTTATAATGTATAATATTGAGAGTATCTCAAATAGCAAGGAATTTCTTTTTTTCACCAGTTCACAAACCAACTGACTAATCAATATTTATTTATAAGTAAGCACGGGAAATAATTGCTTATAACTACATGGTTTACATACGGTTTCTGAGTTGTTTCCTAAGCAGACACTATTAATAGGTGGTTTCCTCTAATTTAGGAGTTGAAGTGTCATGTACCTTCAGACTATTATCTTAGTGGGATGTTCTCCCAGTGATGGAAGTGTATGTCGAAATGTGGCCATAAAGTTGGAGTATACAGTGGTACCTCGCAAGACAAATGCCTCGCAAGACGGAAAACTCACAAGATGAAAGGGTTTTTTGTTTTTTGAGCTGCTTCGCAAGACGATTTTCCCTATGGGCTTGCTTCGCAAGACGGAAACGTCTTGCAAGTTTGTTTCCTTTTTCTTAACACCGTTAATACAGTTGCGACTTGACTTCGAGGAGCAACTCATAGAACGCGGTGTGGTAGCCTTTTTTGAGGTTTTTAAAGACTTTGGTGATTTTTGAAGCTTTTCCAAAACTTTCCCGACACCGTGCTTTGCAAGACGAAAAAAATCGCAAGACGACAAAACTTGCGGAACGAATTAATTTCGTCTTGCGAGGCACCACTGTACACTAATTGCTCAGGAAAGTGCTTGCCTCAATTTCCATTCTCAACTAGACATTGCCTACATTTCTTTCCCTTGCCCTCTTTGCTTTTGCCTTCTATCCATCTCTTGGTTCCATAGCTTCTGTCCTTTGCTATATCTTGACCCTTACTTTAGGCTCCTGCCTCCTCCTCCACTTCTGTTCTGTCCTATTCAGATAGAACTTGTCCCTAGGATTATTTTAAGAAAAGGCCTCATCAAATGTTGGCATCATGTGTATGGAAACATTGCTGAGGGATGGATGAATAATGATGCAGAAGTAGCCAAATTGGTGTGCTCTAGATGTTGTTGGACTACAACTCCTATCATTTCCAACCATTAGCTGTGCTGCCTGAGGCAGATGGGAGCTGAAGTCCATTAATGTAAGGGGAGCACTCTTAGCTACGTCTGGGTTCTTTGAAAATTTGCTTCTTCTTCTCCAGGTCTAGTGTTGTCACTCGCTTCTCTTTACAGCCAGTAGTTCTGCTGATGTTGCTCATGCCCATGTGTCCACATTCATTCTTAAGTCTTTGCTTCCTTCCAGGTCTGTTAAGCACCACCACTTTTGCCCCTTGGTTGCTATGCTTGCCAACAGGATAGAGCTGCAAGTGGGCCGTGGTGTTATGGCTGGTGCGAGTGTCACAAGATGCTTTTTTCCAAATGCAGGTGAAACCTTTTGTGTGCAGTTCATTTGTAGTGCTCTTTGCCAAGTTTCAAACAATATTCCTGCCACAGGATGACCAGTTTTTTAAAAAGGGAAAGGTTCCTGTAACCATGGGCGTAGCCAGGATTTATGGGGGGGGGGGCAGGACACCCATCTGCCATCATCCTCTGTCTGGCTCTGTCTAGCAGATTCAGAATGAAATGTCTCAACAACAGTTCTTTAAAATTACTTTAAATTACATCCCCCTCTGACCATAACAACAACAAACGTAAGCTATGAACTCTGCACCGATCTGAATTCTGAACTTGAATAAACTGAACTATATCATTGACAAAGCCTGAGGGCTTTCTGCCGTATAAATAGCCTGTGAGAAACTTCCATTTGTTTCTACACAGGCCCTGCAGGTGCTTGGTTTCAGGAGAAAATGCTGGAAACTATGAGAAGCTTCCAGAACCAAACTACCTGTGATGTGACTGGTCAGTTGGCAGAAGCCACGCCTATCGCTCAGTTGGATTGCCAGTTGCGTCGCTAGAAAGTGCCACAACATACATCATCCAAATGACTGCCCCGAGAATTTCAATTTCAAATATCCTGATTATTTTTACATTTACTAAAGTATTTTTATTTATTCACTTGATGGGGGGGCAGCCTGTAACTTTAATAGTTGTGTGTAAAAGGTGGCATTTTGGAAGGAGCAGGGATGACCAAAAACTCAAAACAATGAAAGATGCAGAAATTCTATTCTTTACATCTTGCCATTCTACTCACTTATGCCAGCAAAGCATTCTGGAGGTGGCAGCAAACAAGACACAAATAGACTTTGGGGTGAGGATATTAAAAAGGGATTAGACAAATTCCTGGTGAATGGGCCTATCAGAGGCTATTAGCCATTATAGCTTAAAGGAACTTCCAGGTTCAAAAACCTGTTGCTGAAGAAAAGTGGGAGAGCTGTTGCCTGCTAGCAAATTTCTTGGAAACAGATACTTGGCTACTCTGGGAAACAGGCTGCTTGACTAGGTGGGCCCTGATCCAGCAGGACTCTTACAATGTTTGGCATCTCTGATGTCAAAGGTAGTTTATTTACTTGTTCTGTAATAATAAACTGGATGTGGGGTTGGACCAGATGAAGAAGAGTTTGTTTGGATTTGATATCCCGCCTTTCACTCCCCTTCAGGAGTCTCAAAGCGGCTCACATTCTCCTTTCCCTTCCTCCCCCACAACAAACACTCTGTGAGGTGAGTGGGGCTGAGAGACTTCAGAGAAGTGTGACTGGCCCAAGGTCACCCAGCAGCTGCATGTGGAGGAGCGGAGACTCGAACCCGGTTCCCCAGATTACGAGACTACCGCTCTTAACCACTACACCACACTGGCTCTCATGAACCTCGGGGGTCCCTTCCAACTTTCCAACTCTCTGATTCTATTGTGCCCCCATAGTTGTCCTGCTTTGGAACAGATAGACTGTAATAGAGGACTAAGCATATTATGTGAATAGCAGGTGAATGCATTAGAAAGACCATTCAGAGGGAAAGCACCATTTTAAAGCAAGCCAGGTCATTGCTTGCATTTTCTTTGTAATGGAAAATTGATTTGAGTAGCTATGATTCAAAAAACAGTGTGTGGTTGTTCCCTCACCCGCCCCCATATACCCATCAGTGGGTGGTGGAATAACTACTGAATGCCTAATAATTGGTTTAATCTCCTCCACAGCTAGTTTAGCCTAAGCTCATCAGAATTTTCCATGCCATCCATCTAAACAGTTCCTCTGCAGTGCTGGCTGAGTTTAAAGCAAAGCTTATGCTGTGCCATATTTGTAGCCTTATCAGTTACAACACGCATTGATCCAGCACCGCAATCTATATTCTTTCCTCCAGCATTGTCCTGAGCACATTAAAAGAGTAATTTAGCAGGGCTGTTTGTTTGGGTACAATATCAAAACAATAAATACAATATGTGAGAATTTCAGTTGGTATGTTTGTTACTTAGACCTACTTTTAAATATATTTATTTCAAAGTAAGCCCTATTGGAAGCATCAGAATTAAACTTATTGTGTTTATGAAAAATGTTACTAGCTATATTTTTAACTCATTAATTACTGAATGAAAGTAATTTCTAGTCCTCAAGCTTAAGGAACGTGTTTGACCCCAGATCTTGGTCGTGAATCAACTCCAAGTATTGTTGGTCTACAAAGTTTATATAGGCTCTTTTCTTAAAATATAGATGAAGGCATTTTAGCTCTGAACTCTTGCTGTGGTAGCAGATTCCATAGCTGGCCACCTCTCTGTGAAGAATGCTTTTGCTATCCCTGCCCAAATTGTTTGAGGGTAGAACATTGTCAGGAGACCTGGGTTTTATTCTTGGACTTGCTATTACTTTGCTGTGTGACTGGAATGTATCCTTTTTCTGTGCCCCATCAATAAAAAGTGGGTGACATATTTGCAAGAAGATGTAAGGCTTCTTGAAAATTGCAGTATGAGAAGTGCTGCATAACCTTTAGTCAAATCTTTTGGTACTTGTGATCATTCTGGGGCTTAGAGATGATTAATGCTAGACTGCATCTGCTCAGCTTTTGCTGGGGTTGCTTTAACTTTATCAGCCGTAATAACTCATTGCCCACTTTACAGTCAGAATCTATTTTAAATCCATTTCAAAGTTTGCCCCAGAAACTTTCCATGCTAATTCCTCTTTCCTTGTGTGCATTGCAGGTAAGGAAGTAATTAAGTCAAATATACATCCCAGCACTGACAAGATTAAAAGATGTTTTATACATGAATGTCAGACCTAGATCACTTTCAGATAGCCTGTTTATTGAGCATTTGTC